AGGCGAGGACTGTCTCCGGTTTAGCGTTGAGGGTGTGTAAAACTCTCTGTGCAAAATCAGTTGCGTATCAGTGGCATATTAGCTCAGAGGGCATGGGGAGGGGCTTAGGATACATGCCCCAATCGAACTTTTAAAAATGGAAAAGAAGAGATCGAAGCAGAAGAAAGGGAGATTGAAAAAGGGCATGAGAATTATATTCGACATTCATCCCTATCTTCCCATTGGGAATGCTTCGCTCCATTATCGCATTCTATTTCGAATCGAATTAAATTGAATTTATTTCCACAAAACATGAAATGAAAGGGTAAAAAATGATACATGAACAACCAAAAGTGGTGTGATAACAAAAGTATAAATACTGATCTAGGTTATCCCCTTAATCCCCTCATGACACAAATACCACCCCCTACAAGGCAGGGTCGTGCATGCTACGCCATTACTGCAAACTTATCATCATGATACTGATATACCAACCACCCTCTACTAGAGCCGTGCTTCGCGCCATTAATGCAACTTATCTCAGAGTTAGAAATAAAAAGAAAAACTAGGATAGAAGCCTGAATTCGAATTGCTCAATATTATTGCTCATATTCAAACAGTTTATTTATCATAGGAAGAGATCGGAAACCATGGATGAGTTCAAATCACGTTTATTGCCCGTAGTCCATGGATCAATATTTACTCATACCTTGTCAATTACTTGTCATATCCTTGTCAATCAGAAAAGGAAAAAGGGAAAAAATAGAAGATTTGGAGTGGGAAAAGGTAGATAGATGGCAGAGGTGCCGTGGTTTAGAGGTTATGTCACCGAACTGTGAACAACATGGTTAGCGGTTTGAGTCCTAGCCGCGGCATTCGCAGAGTTTGGCAAGACGGTATCTACATTGCCATGCCGGGTGGTGATTTGTACCAGTGATGACGGCCGAAAGCCAATGTGACTGCTTTTGGCATTGCCCAACATGCTTGGATGTGAACAGTGCAAAACAGTCGGAATATTCTCCGAGGCTGAGGAGTGGAGATGGTACAAATGTTGGGGGTGGGGATGGGGGGGGGGGTGGCAGTTGTCGAAGAAGGGGGTCCGAACCCTAATCACCCCGGATTGATCTTCTCTGTACCCTTGTAAAGCCAATCCTTTGCAGATCATCTCCAAAGACAATGTTAACTCCTCAAACTTTTGGTCCTATATAGCCCTCCTCCACCTAATGAATTCAATAATATTGTATGCATTTTATACTTGCACCCTCTATATAGCAAATAATGCCTAATCGGTGCCTGTTGGTCCCCCATGATACTCTTTTTCTTATGTTAATTGAGAGCTGATTTGATGAGATAATCACCTGTCAGTGACTTTGCAGGGAAGGTCTAATCCCCCTGGTCAAACTAGTACAGACGGGCTTTAAAACAATATTTCATGCAGCCGCTTTCGGTCCCCTTTTACAACGTCGAGGACTGGACTACCTTTATTTTTCATCCATTAAAAAATGATCAAAGTAAAGTCTGTGCACGCAATTCGAACAGTGGGATTATTTGGAAACAAAAAACAGATGAGTGATGGCGCTATTTTGGATACAATTTTTAAACTACATTGATCAAAATACGGACATAGTTCCTCAGTTAATATAAATTTTGCTGATGATCTGTGGTTATTTGAAATGGGCGAGCGCAATAATCCCGAACTTGTTTCAGTATGCTTTAGAATTATTTACAATGTTATTCAATTATCTAGTAAAATGTGTATGAAAAATGACTGGTAGAACTATGTTATTTTTTAAATCATATGATTTGTAAAGCTTATGTAGTTGTATCAGTAAGTGATACGTATCTCACTTGAGGTAAGCACGGCGTTACCTCTCCCCATAACCCCTCCCTATTCCCTCACAGCCGCCTGTTGGAGCCCCCCCCCCCCCCCCCAAGAATTTTTTTTTTTTATCATAGACCTATAAGTATATTCTGTGTAAACGACAAGAGGCACTGGTTTCGACAACTCAATGAAATCCCAATCTTAATGCCCCTACCGCCTAGGTATAGAGAGAGAGAGAGAGAGAGAGAGGAGGGGGGGGGGGGGGGGGGGGGGGGGGGGGGGGGGGAGGGGGTTCTGAAACGTCACAAAAATCCAAATGTCTATAGATATTGTTCAGTCAGCTTTCGAAGTGTGTGCAACAATAATCAATCAAAGGTTGATCAAACAGACATGGCTTCATAAAAATGTATGTAACAATATAACAAACGTTATCAAAAATCTTAATTTAATATTGTGTTAACCTTGATGGGGACCTCATGTTCAAGCACATGTTGCTTTTTAGAGGTCCTGGCCTATTATTTATTCTGTATTTACGATTTGTAATGCGATTTATGATGCCAAATAAACTGAAACTGAAATCGATTATGAATATTGTATAAGAAAATGATACACATCGTCATAGACTTTTTTTTTCTTCAAATGTTCGGAATAAAGTATGATTTTATTCGAGATAAAATTCTATACGTTGCCAATTCACACGTTCGAAATGACCATTTTACCAAACACGTCTTGCCATTAAATAGTCATTCAGTACGTGTAGAGGCAAAAATCCAATGCAAATCTCTTGAGATAAAACGAATTTTATAGGTCCTCCTTCGATTTACGACACATTTTATAATTTTTTATTTCGCATCATGTTATCATTGTTTACTGCAAGTTTTTCATGATACATCAATTTTGGATTTTGTCTTTGAATTGTATTTTGTGGTACAAATCACAGCCATGAAAATAAAACCGCACAATGTCTATCTCCATGGCAAGAACATGCAAGTGCACTTCCGGCCATCTCCGCAGACCCTTCCACGGAATTCTTCTCCTTTTCTCCATCTTTTCTTCCTCGATTTTTCCTGTCAATCTCAGATAGCAATCATTCTTTAAGTTCTGTCCCATAAATCGAATCTGCTTATCTTTACCTTACACGTCAGCTGGTTTGTCAATTAAACGCTTTTGAATATTTTTCATATTGCTCACTTCATGTCCCCACGATGCATAAGATCCACCATTGGAAATTCAACATTAAAAAAAATGTTCTTCATTTAATTCCTCTAAACGCAGGTAAAAAGAATAACTGTTAATGCATGCCCTCTTACCAAGAATAACTATTGAAGTATTGTAATGGGGTTATTCATCCAGCGTTTGCCTTTCTCCGTATAACTTCTAATTTCACCAATCGATTTTTCTGAGGCCCTTCACATACTCTACTTTCTAATTATTTTCTAGAAAAGCTCAACGTCTTATCTCAATATGTATATATTTTTCCTTCTCCTCTTCGTTCTTCGTTCTTCGTTCTTCTTCTTGCTAGGGCAGACATAACTAAGATTTTCAATCTTTATCGCCGGTCCTCGCTCGATCTGTTCTCTATCTTGTATTTTTTCCTACTCTGTATTCATGTAATTAATACATTACAAATGCTTTGTTTTGTTTAAGTTCATGTTTACTTGAATGATGTACATTTTTATTCTTTTTCTATCGAGTGAAGTAAATATATTAATAAATGAATCAGTTTCCCTCAATAAGTTCTTCCTAGCTGTCACACCCAGCTTCACACACATCAACTCTCATACCACAAACCTATACTGTCGTGATGACTGCTTCGTGTAGACCTACAGTTTCTTCCCAAGATCCTTCCTGGGATCCTTCCGTCATTGGAACATGCTTCCAAGTTATCCACACTCACAGTAACAAATACCTAGATCATCAGGGATGCTGCCATGCCCGCTACATCATTCATTCAGATGGCACCGCCCCTCCCTTTCTGAGGGCGCTTTAAAGCCCCACTGCACTACTTATAGCAACCTGCGCCCTCTATGTAGCAAACAATGCCTACTCGGTGACCGTTGGTCCCCCATGGTTCCCTTTTTCTTATGTCAATTACTGAGAGCTGATTTGATGAGATAACCACCTGTCAGTGACCATGCAGGGAGGTCTAATCCCTCCTGGCCAACTAGTGCAGAGGGGCTTTAAACCACAACCAAAAGAAAAATTACCGACACAGAAACACGAAGCACCTGTAAATAAAACATCCCTATTACGCACCTGCATTGGCAATGCACTGCCTCTCCAGAACAGCACCAAACGGATCTTTAAGCTAGCTAGGAGTAGGAGATAACCACATCAAATATCCAAGAAAACCAGACATTTTCGCAGACAATATGATTATATCTGAATGTTTCTTTCGGCTCCTCTGCCTCACACTCAGTTAGATGGACCAAAAAAAGAAACTCAATCTCTGACTGGCGCATTATGACTATAATTGCTTCATAAATATTGTTTGCATGCTCATAATTTTTATGAACACACAAAATACAATCTTTTTAATGTATCGTGTAAAGGGTTCTTGTCACGTGATGTCTCATGGTAACTTGTTTTAAGCCACTGCGTTAAATATTGTTATCCTTTTTTGTTTAGGGGGTGTTGCTTTTGTTTTACAAGATACACATAATCATTACCATCAATTCCCTGACTTGGATATATTTCTGTAAATGTTTTTATGATGGTTGCATGCAGACAATATCAATGCCACTGATTTATAACAAAAAGGGGGCAAAAAAGGGGCGTGGCCCGAAATGTCTAAACGCCACTTGGGCTGTCCTTGTAAACATTCATTTGTTTTTCATTCATGAATGCCCTAGCATTTATTCATTTTTTTACAAGGTACTCATAACCATTGCAATTATTATGTAAACATCATAGATATCCTTATCAACATATTCCATAAAAACGAGATTGTTCAATTTCACACATTTTAGGATCCTGCATGGCCCCATCTTGCCTCTGTGTCTCAAAGGTGCGATCGTAAGTTTACGATTGATTGGAGGGCTTGCGATTGATTCGGAACAGTAAACAATCTTGTTCAGACAATGCACGTGTCATCTTCCAATGAACGAAAGTGACCGATATATTCCTAGAATTTGTCTTTCAAAACCAAGTCAAATACAATCGCAAATTAAGCCGGAGAATAATGCTTGATTTAACTCACCTTTTCCATTCCTGACTGCGAGGAGGAAAACTCCTCGTTCATTCGCCGACTCAAGATTCTTCCTGACCAGGAATCGAATCCCGCTGACCTCCTTCTCCCCTTCCATTTCGTCGGACTCTCCTCACCCCTCCTAGAGAATCAAAGATACCTTGAAGTCTCTTCCGGTTGCGAAGACGTCATTACGTAGGACCATGCAGCGGATAATAATCCTTCATTTGTTTTGGAGGTCGGTTCGACGAGGGATGCTTTCCAAGATGTCTCCTGAGATTTTTAGTCACAGGAGTCGCGGTTAAACCTTCGTTGATGCTTAGTTCTGCCGTCTCACTCCTCAATATGCATCTATCGTCCTAGTTCTCTCTGCTCTCGCCCTGTACATATCTATTAGTAAAATAATACCCTCGTTTCTTTTGTGCTTTTGTCATGCTCACATTTCGACTGACACACAATCTTGTAGTGTTTACGTTTGATCTCCGAATTCAACCCTGGCCGACTGGCTCCCAGCTCTATCCTGCCAATATGTTCTCCTCGAAATGCTTCTCTTACTAGCTGAAAGCCACCAGAAGCAAGTCGAGAGGACAACACAATCGGGAAAGCTTCCCCTGAAGTTCAACCTCGGGTAGAGCGTGCATGCACCCCGACTCATTCAACTCAAAAATCAGACCCCATTTTCCAATGTACACATCGCAAGAGTAAACCAATTTGGTTCCGAGGGTCGAGGAATGTTTAAATCAAACAAGAAATTACCCGCAAAAGGACCTCAAGTTTATGAGCATAAGAGACGACTTTGGGAAATCATAGTCCCCTGAATTTGTACGCTCGTATTTTGAGAAGGCCTACGATGAAAAATAATGCACCCCAAAATTATATGATTCTATGGTACTATGGTCCCGAGTGCATGCTGCACGCTTTGATGTGTTGTGAACTCATTTTCTACTCTTTAACAAGTTTGAATGGGGAGTTGTTGAATTTCGAGGGGCGATCAAACAAGGGAACAAAGCTGTAAAAAGAGACAATAAAAGAAATACAACCCGCGGGCCGCGTTTCTCCCTTTGCACAAAATTCACGTATGATATTTGTATGGGTCGTGACGTCATACGGGCAATAGTTCAGTTTAAACGAATGCAATAATAAAGTACAATCATAAAGTACAGTCTTTCCGAAGTTGGTCCAATGACTTATTCCGGATAGATGCAGTTTGGTCGTGATAATGTTGGAATCTTTGGTTACTTGGGTCTCGATTAATGGATAAAGGATCGAATTGTGGACGTCAATCGTCGCTACAAGAAAGAGAACATTACGACCCACCCCCCCCCCCCCTCCCCCGATCATAGTCTCTGTGAACTTTACCTAGAGATCGGTCCGTTTCGTATCAAAACTTTTGCATCAGGAGAGGCAATTAATGCAGCAAAGAAACCTTTTTGAGGGCCCATGTTTGGGGGGAGGAGGGGGTATAGCGCCCAAAAAAAGACTTATTGGGGGAATAAAAAGTAAATCATAATATGAGCATACATGAAGGGGGTGTTTCACAAAAATCACAACTTATCTCTAAGTTGGACTTAACATTTATGGAAAGCCACTAGCATCCTCGAAAATATTTTGTAAAAGTTATTTTAAAAGGCATAAAATAGAGATTCAAGTCATTCATATTTTAATATCATGGGAGATTTCATGTTTTTTATGCGGAATTTATGAAAAGTCTAAAATACTTGTTTCTCTGATATCGCGTGCGTCTCCATGTGCAACCATTATCGTATCTCCTAATCTCTCCGGCCTCTCTCTTCCAAATACGCTGTCCAAATTTGTCAAGATTATGCAAGTATACAAATATTGGGGTGCATTGTTTTTGGTTCTTGTTGTTGGGAGTCTATCAGGAGGGGGCAGAGTACCCCTCCCCCTTACACCCCTCACTCAAAAAAGGGCCAATGCAAAGGAGTCGGTCATATAGTGATGCGATGTTTGTAAGAATTTAACGTTCGAACCAGTACCAGAGTCATGATTTAATCTTTATTACATGAACTTCAGATAATTATTATCAAAACATTTAGGCATGGCTGTGTGGCAACCGCTGTATTTCTCCTATAAGCACATTTTAATCTCGTGTTATTATCTGAAAACGTCTCATTTAAATTTTGTATTACAGAATTCAACCCAGTGAAATATATTTTTGGATGATCAACTGTAATCATACGTAGTAATATCAGACACGGCACTCCCTTTCTTTTGTCGGGGGGGGGGGGGGGGGGGGGGGGGGGGGGGGGGGGAGGGGGGGGGAGGATTATTACCAGAAAAGAGTTCACAAATGTCTCGAGCTTGATCAAAGAATATCTCTTGGATTGCCTCCGTCCATTGTGTCGTTAGAGATAACATTTCCGATCACAATGGCTTTGACAATGGGCAAGAGTGTCTACTAACGTGTGTTGCTGCTCTGGAGAAGCCTGATTGAAATATTACTCGTCATATTAATGTATCTCTCTCTGCATGTAAATCCCAAATTATAAAGGTTTTAAACTGTGGGATGTACAGTACTTCTGGATATGGGGATAAAACATAAATAATGAGACCCCCCCCAAAAAAAAAAAAAAAAAAAAAACAACAACAACAACAACAAACAAACAACAACAAAAAACAAACAAACAAACAAACAACAACAACACAAAATGCACCAAATGATTGCAGTTACATTATTTAAAAGTTGTTTACAGATTATAAGGCATTTGTGGGTGCCGTGGGTCATTTTCGATGGGAAAATGGGAGCCGGCCATCTTGGATACCACCTTGCATCTGAGGCTACCACATAACTAGCTTAATAGTATTCTTCAACCCCCCCCCCCCCCCTTGAAACATTCCATTTCATAAATCGATTCTATATGGTTCAAGTGCAGACACTCACCATATGTGCTTTTTCATATCAATCATACGATTGGCACTTGTTTGTAATTTTCCAAAGAAATCCTGGCCTCTTAAGTTCCTGCCATCCAAACAATATACTGTTATCACAGGGGTATATGTTTGTATGTGCATACTATTCACGTTAAAAATAAGATTTGTACGAGGTTTGTGTGCGTGTGCGTGTTGTGTGTTGTGTGTGTTGATGTAGGGGTGCTATCTTATATTGAAGTATGTCAAAATGAAAAGCAACTGTTTTTCTAAGAATGATTTGTTATATTTTAACTGATTTCTTTCATTTTTTCATCGAAATTTATCGATTGTACATGTATTATATTTTTTTTGTATTATGATATTATGATGAAAAAGAATTGTCTTTTGAAGAATTCTTAATATTGTTTTGAAATTGAATGAAATCAACAACAAAAACTTACAGAAAAACAAAAAATCTTATATTCAGACAGTGAGGTGTCTATTTGTATATTTCAAATTCGTTTTGTATATTTTGATACCAAATTGCACTATCAATGATAATAAAGTTTTACAAAAATAATTCGCCAGCTCTCTCGCAACATATTGATCACTTATTTCGGCAACAGACTTCACCCCCTCCCCGGGCTCCCCCTTCTCCCCAACCCCGTGTCGAAAAATTTGCTATTTCAGCAATAGCCTACACTTCATGCACATTCTCTTGGCAGGGGGAGTAGATATTGAATGCAGAGCAAAAATGATGTGTAGGAATAGAATGAGAGGTTACGTTTTATATTTTTACTTTCATTTGGCCAGGTGCCTGCTCTGTGTATAATTTTTTTTCTTCTTCTGAGCATTGTTTATCCCTGGTTGTCTCTTGTAAGCTTTTGTAGTCTCTTCATACCAGCAATCGACAACTAGTTCTTTAATTTATGTTGTTTTTATGTATGTTAGACAGATGTACATTTTGCATCATTTATATTTTGTTATGTGATCCATCATAACTTATGTTGATGTTATGTGATGTTTAATTTAAATGAAAAGGATCAAATAAACATGAAATACAAAAAAAACACGAAAAAACATCTACCTAACATTTCAGCTTCATCTTCTCATCGAATTCACACTTAATCCACGCAGGCCTCATTTTTTAAAGCCCGTCTGCACTAGTTTGGCCAGGGGGGGGGGGGGGGGGATTAAACCTTCCTGCAAGGTCACTGACAGGTGGTTATCTCATCAAATCAGCTCTCAATTAACATAAGAAAAAGGATCATGGGGGACCAACAGGCACCAATTAGGAATTGTATGCTATATAGAGGGCGCAAGTAGCTATAAGTAGTACAATGGGGGCTTTAAAGCATCAAATTGGTTAAATGCATTCCATCCAAACCAAGTTTTTCTATGCACACAAAAGCCTCATTGAATTGAAAACGCAGTACAAGAGCAATGTAATATCAAATCGTTTTATTTCTGCTAGAATCATACACATTCAATGAAAATAGAACTCACACTTTGACAAAGAATGATGCAAGGTCTTCGCATGATGCATCACTACAGTTGCAGTGGATTTTCTATCCTTTAGGGGAATTAAATCTAAATCCCTCTGAAAATATCTCCAAGGATGATCATCTACGGATGAACTGTATCAATAATTAAACCCTCTGTACATGTATGTACACTCTAAAATACGGAATGAAAACATAATTTACTCCTTCAAATTTACACTAATTGAAATCCAAGTCAACATTTGCTGTTGGCTCTATGGTATTCAACATTGTATCCTCATGAACCAATTATATGTTTGGAGCGCGAAGGGCATCGAATCGTATGCTATAACGTACATAGTTAATGCCCTTCTAGCTCTGTACACATGAAATACACGTTTTAAATTATTCATAAAGATGAAGACAAACTTTGTCTCCGCCCTATGTTGATTTTTGGAAACAGTGTGTCCTTCAATGATTATTTAAGTCACAATTTCATTTTTTTTGCTATTTTTAGAGCATACTATTTAATGAGAGCCAGAAAAGTGTAAATGGGCATCATATTAAAGAATGTAATGCCCTTCTGTCTCTCAACGGTCTTTACTTTGTACACTTTAAGGATTGTTTAGATATGGCGTTGGAAACCGCTGCAAAAAAGCCGCCATGTTTTTACTTTTGTGTAAACCAATGGCAGGTGCATGCAACAAAGGCCTCGCATGTATTCACTGGGCTCTGTGTTATAAGATACCGAAATGTGAAGTGCATTACGCTTTAAACCATCATTTTAAAAAAAATACAGAAAAACAGCATCATATCTGAACGAGCCTTAATTGTGAATGCAAGAAATTTAATTCTTAAATTCTTTATTTGATTTCCTTTAAAAATACAAAATTACAAATGCATCAAGTGAAAAAAAGGAAAAAAAAAGTTGCCTAAGAAGAAAACAAAAATTGGACAATATATACAAAACAAATCCAGTGAAGAGGTATGAAACATACAGCATCAAATACTAACGAAGAAGTTTGTGTTAGGTTTTAGTTCTTATTGTGGCCTGACAGTAATAACTGTTGCGTAAGTCCCTTTGATGTGGCAAAGTGGACATACAGTACATGTGTATACTATTGACTATTCTTCTTTCTTTCTTACCAACATACATAAATGACTCTTATAATACAATTCTTTCAACTCGACAATACTTTCAAATTGGTGTATCTACAGGGAATAATTTTCCTCAAATTTTTTGATTAGCAATTTCAACCGATTGATAAATATTTCAAATGAAATTCTGTACATTTCTATGGAAGAAAACTGCTACACAAAAGATATTTTGTATAGCAGTCATGCAAAAATGCATAGCAAATTGCGATGCGATACCAGGAAAATTATTCCCTGATCTACATATATCCCTGCTTTCTCTCTGTAGAAAGATGTAATGAAATACTGATGAAAGCAGGTAGCTTCAATTTAGTGGATTCCGTGAACTTTACTTTCAACCAGAAAGCCGACATCTAAAGTCACACATGGGACTACCTTCTATAGTTATTGAAGATGTACATGCTCTAAATATTTTGAGGCCTAAAATTACTCTCAACTTGCACCTGAACTAATGCAAATTACAAAAGTGACCATGCTTTAAAATTTATCAACCGCTTATTTCTTTCAGCTAATTCAATACAAAAACAATAAGAGAACAACATTACCAAAATACCAATTAAAAAAATACATTCCAAACGAATTGTACAAAAAGTAAATGATAACATGGCAAAGTAAATGATAACATGGCAGAATAATTTTTGAGTTCTAAAACTTGAAGATATTTTTGAAGAAATTTAAAGCTGCAATCCAACACACATTTTCTACACCAATACAACATCAGATTGTAAGGTAGGTCTAAAGCTACCCAGAAAAAACATTTCTTATTTTTCCACTCTTCATTCAAAACAAGCACATACAGTATTGGTGAAACACTATTGAATGCAATAATACATGCTGCCTAGTCATTGTGTATGACATTGATGATGATGATCATCAAGCTAGAAGGGCATCAACTCTACCTGAGTTTAATGTCATTCTAGTTCTCCACAGATTAATAAACAGTTCTGTTCACCGCTTACTCTTTGCAATGTCAGAATAAAGAATACAGAATGGATAGAATGAGCAAGTAGAAGAGATAAACAAAACAAAACAAAACAAAACAAAGAAAGAAAAAACAAATTATATCCCCTATCTGTTCTGCGTGCTTTAGGTCTACTGTACACGACCTGTAAATGCTGTTTTGGAGGGGGGAGGGGAGAGAGAGAGAGAGAGAGAGAGAGAGGATAATGTTTTCCGGAAACAGGTAACCAGCACCCATTCATAATACTTGGCTGTGACATATTAACAACAACCATTTAAGGATAGAATCATTATTGAAAGCAGGCCCAAAAAATGAAAACTTTCATCCCTCAATCTAAACTGAGCAAGAAAAGCCACTTGTGACAAATGCTACATGAAACACCCTTCTGAACATATTATACACTTTAGAATAATAATAACAATTCATGCTGTTTATGACTTATTGCTAAATATGTCTTGCTTCGCTATTACTCTATAGATAACTTAATTTCTTTGTATCAAGTACAATTATAGTTCACAACAAATACTTATGTTTCGATAAACATGATTTCCTTGCGGATATTTTGATTTAATTGATAATGTCACATATAAATGCTTACTCACGATATTCAAGTAAAGAAATAAAGTTTGTAATTTAAGTGCAATAACTTGACCCTGATTCATAACAGGTTCTTTGTGCTCCAAATGCCAATGTGAGATCGGTAGAATAACAAAAACTATCCTTTCTTGAAGAATTAAAAAACCTTCAAGAAAAAGAGCTAAAATCTTGTTCCATCTAATACATAGAAATTTTAAAGTGATAAAACTGACACAGGCATCACCCAAAGCATTCTATTTTGTACATACTGTTTAAATTTCTTCTACATACTTTCTCTCTCTTCTCTGTATTTGTTGAAAATAGCATTATTTGATGAGTCATTTTCCAAACTAAAGGAATGATGGCATAACGATGCTAGATTTATGCTCAAAATACTATATCCCAGCATCCACAATGCAGCATCTACTTATATTACACCTCTCAGCCACATACTACAAATATAAAGCGATAGACCAGTTTACCAACGCATTCAAATCTCATGCCATGAATACAAAATTGCCAAGAAGGACCATAAACCTTGCCAGACATAGCAACAAACGGTGATGTGAAGGTGGTTTTCATCCATTGAGATGCTATCGCACATGTTGAAAATCAGGGACCCGTTTCACACAGCCTTTTTTTCAGTGATAAATGACAAAAATCAGTGACAAATCTGCTGATAACCAATCAGAAGCAAGGATTTCACTAGCTTATAACAAACACTATCATTTATCCTTGATGACAGGTTTTGTGAAATGCGGCCCTGGACTCTATTCCTTCAATCAATCAAAATCTTACTAACGCCCATCTCTTTAGTACACATTTGTGATGACAGTAATATGAAGCTGTGAACAATTCACATCGATCACAGCTCTCCATAAAAAAGGCTCTGAGTTCTAAACGCAGGGATGTCAGTTAGAATTGATCAGAGGGCCTGAAAATCACCTAGAATGAGCTAGTTTTGTACACAAAAAAAGCCTAAACTATGGTATGAAAATAACTTGCCAGGGACTGAAATCAGGATATTGCCTGAAAATTGGCATCCCTGTAAATAAAATACACACATGAATGAATTTGAGTGCGTGAGTAAACAGGTCTATTTACATCAACGATCAATAATTTCTATCGTCTTCTGTTGCCACGGCTACGACTCCTGCTTCGCCTCTGGCGGCTCCACGACCTCTCCCTGGCGGCGGCGCGGGGGCGCTCTGGTTCCCTCTCTCGTCTCATTCTGTTATCGTCCCTGTTTTGATCTCGTCCGCCCTTGAAGCGTTCCTCCTGGGCGATCTTGCGGTTCTCTTCTCTCTTCAGGGCCAGCTTGGCTTTAGATTTGTCTCTTTCCAAGGCCTGTCAAGAGGAAAACAAAAGGAAGTCATAATTGAGGAGCTCCAGGGGGGTGTTTCACAAATATCTTAAGTCGAACTTAACTCTAAGTTGGACTAAAAAATTATGAATAGCCATTTGTAGCCTTATAATGAAATATATTCAAAAGAAAAAAATTCAAGTATTTTAGACTTTTCATAAATTCCACATAAAGAACATGAAATCTCCTTGATATTAGAAAATAAGAATTAATTTAATCAACATTTTATGCCTTATAAAATAACTTTTTAAAAATATTTTCAAAGATGCTAACGGCTTTCCATAATTTTAAAGTCCAACTTAGGATCTTTGTGAAACACCCCCCAGGAGTGTCAAATCTGACAGACATGAGCACTATACAAGAACCCACTATTGCTATCATACAGGTACGGTTCACTCTACAAAGTTTCCACATTCTTGTTTATGAGTCAATACGATGGTCAGATGAAATTGAGTTCTGTGAGCATTTCATACTGTCTGCGCTCACTTCTTTATACTCCTTCCATACAATAAAATAGCAATAACCAAGTCATGGGCATAATGTGTCAACAATCGCCAAACTGCACAATTTATGTGCATTACATAGTATGGAAATTGATACACATTATCAGTAGTTATTGTCACCATCACAATCATATGACACAGACAAAGATTGTACATCTGAATTTGATAATAATACAGTCATCTACTCAATGATATATTCCTCCTTCCATCAGGAATACAACAATTACTCATAAAGAACTGAAGATACAATAAAACATGTGAACTAAAAGAGAGCAATATAACCTGGCATGACCAGTTGATTGAGATATACATAAATGTGAATTTGTCAAATTGCAGAGTGGTGATTCTTAGCATTTCATGGGATTCCTTGACCTTGAAAGAGAAGGAGGACCCACCTGTTCTTCGGTCAGAGGTAGCCAGTAGATACATGGGGTAGCTTTGGTCTTGCGGAATAGATCGTCCAACAGTTTGGCAGGGGGCTCATCAACTTCCTTCTTCACTTCTATGGCTAGATATAAAGACACACATCAATAAGCGACACTCTTTACTACATGTCAAGGGTTCAGTGACACAAAGACGTTATTTTGCCGAAATGAGTATTTGATATCAAAATGTTCAGAAAAATGTGGGCTTTCCAGGAAACACAAAGATTTAACTCTACCCAACACCACATTGAAGTCAATGGCTAGTGAAACATAGACTTAATTCCTTACGGCCCAAGTGCTCAGTGACACATAAGACCACTTTTTCTCAAAACGACCAAAATGGAGTTATTGACCCCTTGATGTATATTCAAAACAATACTGCTCAAAGCCACTGCTAACGAAGAGAACTTCATTATTTTTTTGAAAGAATATCCTACTCTCCCTCGACAATTCAGAATTGAGATTATGTACTGGGAATAAAGAGTACTCAAAGACAGTAATGATCTCTTGTCCTCGAAAAGTGAGTGGATCAGCTGTTCCTATTCCATATAATACAAGTTGTATTTGTGCTCTCTGCACAATTTACGATCAGTAGATAACCCAAGGTCAAATGACACCGGTAATTTTAAATTGAAATGAGGAGTAAAAATACCAACTTAACGATAAGTGAAAAATTTTGCTTTCTAAAAACAATTGGTGATTCTGTCAAACTTTATTTTTATTTAACTTTTAATTTCCAACAGAGGACATTTTGTTTCAAAAGTAAAAGAAAAATATAGAAGTTTTGCCAATATGTCCCCCCCCCCCCAAGAAAAAAGGATTCATTTGGCGTTATAGGCTTATATCATTGCTGTTACGCCTTTATAAAAAAATGTGAGATAGGTGCACCTTATAAATTAATTTGATATTATTATTAGTATTGGAAGATTGAGGTATGTGCACCTTATAAATTAATATAATATCTTTGTTAGTATTATACACTTCTATATCGAGAATGGATTAAACAAGAAACTCAGAGTGCATTATAATACCTTCATGTCTGTCTCTCCTTTCTTGCGACCGGGTCACGCGCCCCCTCCTTCTCTCGGGTGACCTGCTCCTCTCCTTGCCCCTGTCCCACTCCCTCTCCTTACGAGAGTTCTCCCTCTCCCTCTCTCGCTCCTTGGTCCTTCTCTCCTGCTCCAGGTCCTTCTCCCTGTCCTGGTGGAGGATGCGCTCCCTGCGGGCCGAGAAGCCCCGGACCGCGGGGTCCTTGGTGGCTGGCTCCCGGGCGGGCTCCGCCTTGTTGACCTCCTCCTTCTTGGCAACGACCACACCCATGTGTCTCTGAAGCTGTGGATGAGGGTGAATTGAATTGAAGATGGGTTTATTAAAGATGAAAGAGTGTTGAGATTTTATGGGTGTATTTGGAGATCTGCAGGGCCCCGTCTTATAAAGAGTTACGATTGATCCAAATCAATCGCAATTCCACCAATCAATCGCAAGTTTGCAGTTTTCTATCTCTATGTACATAATTGTGGTTGATATCAACTCTTTGTAAGATGGGGCCCTGAGGAGTGTTTTACAAAGACTAAGATCAACTTTAAGTTGGACTTAACTATGACAGGCTGTTCATGCCACTGTTTGCTCTCACCATATAATATGATCTTTAGATAAAAAAAATTCCTTCTTAATAATGAATGATCATTTGTACGTCCCTTGAGAGACCAATGCCGGTAAATGGTGAGAGCAGACAGTGGCATGAACTAGGGCTGCGACGTGTAGTCGAATGCTCGAGTACCCGCACGGTTGACAACTACTCGGGTACGATTTCTCGTACCCGAATATTCGGCCGCAAAAAAAAAAAAAAATCTGTCCAGGCCGACGCTTAGCCGTGCCTGGGTGAGCGGCAGCCGCTGGCATGTTGCCATCGGTAAAAATGTCTGAATATTCGAGTATTTGCTTGTAAGCCTGGGAGTGTACTCGGGTACCTCATTACACTGTTGTGCACAGCCTTAGCATGAACGGCCTGCCATAGTTAAGTTCAACTTAAATTTGATCTTATTCTTTGTGAAACACTCCCAAGGAATTCATTTAGTGTGAAATTTTTCAATCATATGAAATGTGTCTACTTACATGTATGTGATACACAGGTCTTGCGCAATCAATCAACAACCTCACATATACCTTTGCAACAGCTGATATACATACAAATAATATTTTACCATAACCAAAGCTCATTAACATTAAGGCTGTGCACAACAGTGTAATGAGGTACCCGAGTACACTCCCAGTCTTACAAGCGAATACTCGAGTATTCGGAAGCCATGATTTTTTCTTTGTTTTTTTAATTTTTTTTTGTTTTTGTTGCCACCACCATACCACTGGAGAAGTATCCCAGATCTATCGCCGAAAACGCATGCAATTTTACTTCGAGTTGCAGTTGAAGGCGCTGATTTAATAATAATAATAACAGTAAACAACGCTGTTTTAAAAACCAAAGATGGCAGAATATTCCATTTTCCTCCAAGTCCAAACAGAAATCTGGACATTTGGTCCCAGTTTCTGAGTGGTGAGTTTGACAGTGCTTGAGTTGGGAAACAATTTTACCGACGACACCATGCCAGCAGCCGCCGCTCTCCCTGGCACGGGTAACGGTCGGCCTGGGATTTAAAAAAAAAATTTTGCTGCCGAATATTAGACTAAGAGAAATCGTACTCTAGTAGTTGTCAACCATGCGGGTACTCGAGCATTCGGCTACTTGTTGCAGCCCTAATTAACATTTCCCAAAATCATTCATGTCTGCAGTGATTCACCAAACTTAACTACGGTACTGAATTTTCTTGTTCAATTACACTTAATACATAAACCCTTTGGTTTCTTGTAGGCATTAGATAAACTGCATTTGTTTGCTGCACTCACAGCAATATAGTAACTAGGAGTCAACATATATTTACATGTAGTCATCTCAAAAGACATATCAGCATAAAATCAATGCTAAAGAAAGGATGAAGATTATTATAACCAGCTCCTGGTAAGCAATGCAATAGGAAAAATTTGTTCCAAACAGTCCTTCAATAAAGTTAACACACAAGTCCACAACAGCAGATAAGCAGTAATGATAAAACTGTCAATATAGAACACATACCACTTTCTAACAAGACAAAATGTATATATATTCCGTACTTGATGAGCATGAAATCAAGAGTGCCATGTCAGCTGCACGGTGATGTCCATAACAATTAAATGCTAACGCAAAGCAGCCCATGTAACCTCCAAGCCTCTTTCACACACAATGCACTAAACCACCTTAAAAACACTTTACAGTCAGTACTTGGCAGTATGTCTCATTTCTCATTGAACTCTCAAGAGAGAATTGTTTTACAGTTGTTTTAATCTATCGTGGGAGTATTGTCTATTATTTCTATTTAATATGAAGGTTGCGGATGATTCTCCACAGCGATCAGCTGTTCATAAAGCTTGTATTCCCTTCAGAAGGGCAAATTCACTACACCCTCTCAAGTCAACTTTCATTCACAATCTTATCTCATCTCTACTTTCAATGGTCTTCAATTCTCAGTCACACAATATTAGCAGGGCTATATTTCAAGGTCAATATCAGATAGAGAATAGTACACTACACATCCCTAATAATAGTCACACATTGACTGACACACCACTAGGATTAATTACATTTTGTCTTTGTTTCCAAATGGACTGTAGTGAATGATTAATGCAAAGTTTCTTTAAATTGTTTGTCACATATTAAATATTAAAGAAGCAGCAGCCAACATCTACACACTCATGATCATATCAACTTTCATTCGTAAATTGACAAACTAGAAGAATAATTGCTGATTTTTTAACTTTTAAAAGTGAAATTCCTTGTCACACATTAAAAGAGTGATATCACACATCCATCCATTCCCAAATGAAATATTACTCATAATTTGACAAATTATTAGAAATAACTCCATTTTGCCTTTAAAAGTTTTATTTATGTACTATTTTTCACATAATATTTGTGCATATTATGTTCCATATTTCCTATCTGTAACATTAAGAACAAAAACAGACTAAATGTAAATATTTTCTGTGATATACACATTGTGCATAGAAATCAAATGAAAGGTTTAACAAAGATTTTACAGAAGCCCATAAATTGTCACAATTTTAGCTATTTTTCGCAAATGTTCTCATCATACATTCATACCTGAAAATTTGACATTCAAAGGTTAATTCAATCCCATCTTATATTTGTAAGTTTCTTCTTAAAAATAAATCACAAATCATCCCTACACTCTGTCTGCTATGTGGTGGAAATGACTATCAATGTGAATTGACAATTCCTTACCTCGTTAAGGTCAGCAAACTCCACCCGTAATGTCTTGGGGTTGCTGCTAGGCCAGGTGGTACCGTGCAAGGCGTCGCGGCAAACCACCGCCCCATCAGAGCTCTCAAACTATTACACAAAAAAAAGTGATAAAGATGAGAATATAAATAAGGGAAGCGTCTAGGTCATATATCTGCACCTCAATCAAGCTCATGCCAAAATATGAAATTCACAACACTTTTTACACATTATCAAAGCTCACCTTTACATTATTTCAGCTAAATGATAGTTTTTAAAAAACTCGCTCACTCAGACACATTCCAAATGATGAACATATATGTGTTCATTTTGAAAAGATATACTGTTAATATCAAAATTCAGGCTGTTTTTAGCATCCTACAGCTAGTAAAAAAAGGTAAGCATCCAACTTTACAGTAGCCAAGTGATACTTACAGTAGCATAGCAATGTGACTTGATGTTATTGATCCAGAAGCCATCGGCCGACAGAGTTCCATAGCGTCCTAGGAGCTCCTTGAGTTGAGGTAAGGTGAAAGGTCGCACCAGATTGATGACATGGACGATGTTACTGGTCGGACGTTTGGAGGGGCTCTGGTCACGGCCGGCATGACGGATCGGTTCGTCGATAACTGTACGCACTGCTCTCTTTATCTGAATCACCTTTTTCGCTAAAATTTGAATTGGTGAAAAGATGCAATGGTTATGGTTTAGTTAGTTGTACTAATTTCACTCAGTACCTTTACTTCACATATAAAAAGGAATTTGAATTTAGCCCCCCCCCCCAATATTTTATTACATAGACAAAGCCATCATTACATTTAATCCTTAAGCACTTAAAACATCCTTCATGCTATAATAACATAGAGAAACCTTATTTTTATTCAGTAATTCTCGCACATCTGCCTAGAGCGATCCACGATTATGTACCTGGTAAGCACTATATTGTTGCTCACAATTAATGAGATTTCAAAAGCAAACAGTCTAGATTGCAATAAATGAAAAGCTATATTACGCTCATGATTCAACACAAAATAAAGTTTGATAGAGCACTGATAATATCAAAGCAACCGTTTCCTACGTAAAATGATGTCATATAAGCTGGATGATATAAATCAATTACCTTTAACTTCTGGTTGCTTATTTTCTTGTCCTTCATCTTTGGGTGTTTTTTCTTTCTTCTTCTTCTTTTTCTTCCTCTCTTCTTTCTCCCCATCCTCCTCCCCTTCCTTCTCTCCATCCTCTCCAGTCTCCTCCTTGTTGTCTTCCTCGTCGCTGCTACTCTCACTCTCCTCATCTCCGTTTTCTTTCTCTTCTTTCTCTCCGTCATCATCGTCTCTCTGTTGGACCTTCCTGGTCACCACCTCATCGTCGTCCTCTTCGTAGTCGATGTCGCTCTCTTCATCTTGCAGAGCAACCTTCGGAGCACTCTTGAGATCGCCCTGCAGAGATTAGAAAATGGAAACATTCTTAGGGTGCGTTAAGCATTTTTTTGAAGCAAGAATCACAAACATGAATCACAAATCAAAACGCCATTAAAAACACGGTTACTGCAGGAGAGCGTCAAGCAATTTTCCATCAACACTGATTCTCTTTTTCATGTTTGCGTCTTTAAACACGTTTATTCTTACGACAGACGAATAATCGCTTGAAATCGCTTGAAATCGCTTGAACGCAACCGTGTTTTAAACTATACGTCTTTGAAGGCAGTGTTTCTAGGGTGAAAAAGTGTCGCTTGAACGCACCCTTAGTGAGTGACTTACTGAATGAAAAATATAACCCTGGTCTAGCTGACTTTTTAAGTTTTTATAAAACCCCACACAGATAAACAAGTGAAATAAAAACTGAAAAACAAACAGATGAATTATTTTGAGGGGAACACAAAGAAGATTAAAGTTTAAAGTTATGATCAATCAAATAAATCTTTATTATTTTCATTACTACTCCTCATCATTGTCATCATTGTCGTGGGCATCATCATTATCATCACCATCATTATTCTTGTCGTCATCATCACTACTATTTTCCTGTTAATAACAATTCAATAATGTTGATAATGACAATGATTGTAATGATGATGAAGAAGATGACTATGTTGATGATGATGTTGATGATGATGTTGATGATGATGATGATGATGATGACGATGGTGATGATGATGACGATGGTGATGATGACGAAGGTGATGGCGAACTTACAGGAGCAGTGATGGTATGCCTGATGAACTTTCTCTTGGGAGGTTCTTGAGAGGTCTCCTCATCTTCCATGGGCATCGGTTTCTCCTCCTCCTCCTGGTCCTCCTCCTCTTTCTTGGTCTCCTTGACCTCACCCACATCCATGGCCTCTTCTCCCTCTAGGTCTCCCTCTGGCTCCAGGTCCAACTCCAGATCAGCCGAAGGGACCTTGATCTCTGGAATGATGTCCTAGTTTGGATCCAAAAGTAGACCAAAAGTCTCTAATTAAAATGCTTATCTCATATTTTGGTATGTAACCCGAACAGTCATTATCACTTTCCATGAGACTTATTTAATCTCTTAATTGTTTTGAAGATTCCTTAAACTCACAGCAAACACCAATACTTTTTGTCCACATTGTCAACCTGATATTTATTTGGTATCAATAAAAGCAGAAATGAGGGGAACAGATTAAAGAAATGTGAGCAAATTCCCACTAAAAATAAGAAATTAATTTACTAAAAATGAAACACAAATTGGCAATGATGTGAGCCTGTGAAATATCTTGCAAGGCCCTCTCTCATTTGCTCTGTACACAAAATGCCATAAATCTTAATTTTCTTGGTTATTAATGAAGAAATACACTAGATTCGTGCAGAGATTTTGTAAAACACATTTGCAATAGGTTGCCTGAATGAATGAAACTTTCCCAAACAAAATTTTAGTAAAGAGCAAATGGGAGGATTTATAGTCAAATGGTAGCAAATTTGTGTTTGAGCAATTGCAGGATCAAAGATTCGTAACTTTCTTATTCAAAATCAGATTCTGCTTAAACAGTTAAACTTTCACTGATCTGTTTCTCTGATTTCCTGCTTCTAATCTATCAAAATAAACATTGTGTCAGGATGGACTTCCTCCGTTAAATGCAGGGGTGAAAGTGAGCGCTAAAAAAAAAGGGGGAACCCCCCCCCCCTCAACCATGCCACCTTTGAGTAAAAAAAAAGAAGAGGATTCGGGGGGAAACAAATGGCATCCCTTTTGAGAAAGAAAATTGGGAAAAATTTTAATCAGGTAATTATCAGGCCTGTGGCATACCTTGAGAAGCTGTGTACTGATGTTGACATTGGTCTTCATGGTATCATCTGTAGTGGTCTTCTTGGTTGATCCCCAGCGTCTCTTCTTAACCTGAGGAGCTTCTGGTTTGTCTTCCTCTCCGTCGTTCTCCTTGGTTTTATCCTTGGCTGTAGGGTTTGTTCACACATTAGAAGATTAATGCAAGATACTTAATCATACATTTAAATATCTGGGGAGTGTTTCACAAAGACTAAGATTGACTTTAAGTTGAACTTAACTATGGCAGGCCTTTCATGCCACTAGTTCCTCTAACCATTTCTAGCATTTGTTTCTTAAGGGACGTACAATTTGTGGTCACATATCTACAGAATTTACCTGATTTGATAGTTCATTATTGAAGGCAAAAATAATATCTAAAGATCATAATTGAGAGATCAATGGTGACAGCAACCAGTGGCATGAATGGCCTGCCATAGTTAGGTTTAACTTAAAGTCGATCTTAGCCTTTGTGAACACCCCCCAGGTGTAAATGAAGTTGTACGGGAGTTTTGTTCTTCTACTCATTAAACTAGGGCATTGCCATAAAATTACACAAAAGAAGCTCTTTTTACTTTACAGTGCATGGCAGGGATTACCTCCTATGTTCTGACTGTTTGAATTTCAAAACGTAGTTTCTTCCTGAGTGAAATGTTACATTATTGTATACAGAAACAGCCGAGATAGCAGGGTAGAAAGTCTCCGTCAGACGATAGGCAAAATTGCTACTGGTCCTGCAACTTTATAGCAGTAATGTCGCTGCTACCGTATATTTGCAGCCTACGAAATATGTTCTCGAACAGGGAAACTAATAAAAACTCAAAACCTTAATATTACTTTTCAAAGGATCATACAGAAAACCTACACCACAAATAATCATAACCTTGAATCGTCACAAACAAAACTTTTGCAACATCTTTGAGAAAAAAAAAATTGAAAAAAATCTTTTAGTAGTGAAGTTGCAAGGTTTGTAGTGGTTTATAGATCAGAGGCTACAAGTTTAACAGTTAAGAACAATATACATGTAGCATCCTGTTTACATTAAAAGGAATATATTAATCTGTCTTACATGAGAAGGAATGTCTCTTAGTTTTGACGGGAGCCGATGACACGCTAGTGTAGGACCTGGAACGAGATGTCTGTTCAACCTTCATGGGAAAACAAAACAAAACATAGATCAAATATAAATGGATCAGATTCGATGCTCAATGATATTCTGCGAATCTCATTTGCCAATGGTCCGATAAAGAGGCGCAGAATGGAAAATGAAAGTATGTAAGTTAGAAATTAGAATGAAGGCTTGTCCAAAATCGTTTTTATATTTCTCTTCAATGGTGGGCCGAGCTTACTTTATACCAGCCTTTCAATTAACCAGTTTATCACTTTAATTTTGCATGGATTCAATTTTTTTTTTCTACCATAGTCACATTCTCTTGGCATTTGGTGTCTGATCTTTTATAAATCTTCAAGAATTGGACAAACCTTCTGTATGAGGAAAAAAATGGAATTGATAATTGGATAAAGTTAGTTTAGGAGAAGACTAGCTCTCTCTTGGAGAATGATCCACATATTTTAGTATTCGTTTCATTTCTTTCTTATGCATGCCATGTTTATTTTGAGAGATGAAAATCTCTAGTTTCATTTATACTTTGAATAATGTCATTTCTGTTGATCAATCACAGAAACTGTCATCTTTCTCTTTCTGGAATGTTTCCAAAATTTCATAAAATAGTTAAAGGTAAAGACCAGTATTGGCAACGCCCCAATTTCAAAAAATGAAATGGAAGCTCTCATTACCAATCATGTGAAATATTATGTTTTGACTAATACATGATGATAAAAAATTTGCCGGGAAACCGCCTACTAATTCATATATTTGGTAAATTTATTTCTCTCATGGTCTGGTGAGAGAGATAGGGTAGTCCCATATACATCTTTCTGTGTATAGTGCTTGTAACTTTACGAAGAATGAGCCAAATTTCTTATCATTTTGATGATTCCAGAACCTTGCAGATGCTAGATTCTAGATGATCGACCTTTTCTGATCGATTCCACAACGTTTCTTTCACAATGCAATCGCATGACCATTACTGGTCTTTACCTTTAATACCCAATTGCTATTAGTGTCATTATTCCAATACAAAACGACCCCAAATACTTTTTCATTTTCATTTTTCCTATGAAGATTTAAACCCATCAGTAAAATGTAAAAGGAGGATAAGTTTCACAGGGACATTTGCAGTGAGCTAAAAGTGGGAGCCACTAGCTTCTTTTTGTGAACAACACAGAAAACTTCAGGCATAAAAGAGATACATGGAATGAACATGGACAGAAAACAATCACACTGTACAAGAAACATGATCGAGAATGTTGCTGGCAGCAGACTCTAGGCCCGGCCTCCATCAGTATTACCCCAGCCACCTCTCTCTTTCTCTCTCGCTCTGTCCTGCAGGCACTGCAAAAACAAAGTTTGGTTTGCTGTTCCTTGACCTGCCTTGACCTGTGTTGGAGCCTACTAATATTTGGAACGTCATGTGCGAAGGAAATCCAGGACCGTCGAAAGAAAACCCTGGACGGTTAAACTAGGTTGTGGAGTACGTGTATGATAGCTGCTAACACAGTTGACCTTGCGTTGCTAATTTACTGAATAAAAGTTCCGGTTGATTTGACGATCTTTCAGGATACTGATGAATGCTGTACTAGAACGGATAGGGAAAGCCTTGCATGGGATGCCAAAGCCACTGATGAAAAAGGTGAAACAAAAGTTCTGAAGATAGAAGAATCTGTATAAAGCATGTGGAGTTCATACGTTTGGGCCTCATCCTTCCTTTAGCTGTGGGGTCTGGGAAATATTCCGTCGAAGAAAAAGTGATGAAAAAATTGAAGTGACACCATTCGAAATTGCAAGCTGCAAGCTGGGAACCGCTTTGACGAAATTCAATTTCTCAATCGTGATAAACGCAAACAGTCTGTAGGTTATACAGTAGACAGTTTAATTGGCAAGGTAGCTGTTGATCAATGTGGAGATGGGATTTTCATATAAAATACAGTGTTCTAAAAAGTCAACAGAGGGAAATTTACTTGGATACGGGTGGTGTTGTAGTTGATGAAAGCTGTGAACTATGCTTTGGAGTTTGGAGGAAAGTTGAGATGTTACAAGCTGATGGTGCTTGTGACAAAACGGCAAGACGAAATGTTCTCGTGAATAGGATATCAAATGTAATTTCTGCATGTCTCTATGATCGCAACAAGTATGTTGAACACTCAGGCACGGTGACAAAAATGGTCCAAGTTCTAATATGCAACAGTGAGCGTGATGTATAATGGCAACATTATTAGGTTAAGGTGTTCATGCTTATAATCACAAAAGTTGGTTGATCCATTTTCAAGACTGCTGATTGTCAAGTGGTGGTTGGAGCACATAAGAGGTAACAGTTCAATATTTCTTGAGAAATGCTTGGAATTCAGCATTTTTCGAAGCCTTCTGTAGGCAAAGTCATATTATTGCCATGGTAACTTGGTAACTGTGAAAGGGTGTGGAAGTTGGCATCACTGAGTCTGATGGCGACTGGCAGTGACAAACTTATCGAGTTCAGCATTATTCCGTTTGTGATGCAAATGAAGCCTTCTGTAGGCTATGTTGTGCTGGAAGTGTTCCTCAAAAAGTGGGATGAATATTGCATTTACATTGTTCCTTCAAGGACTTGTCATGAACAATAGAGTCAAATTGATGTGGGGTTGGGTATTTGATACGCAAAGCAGGAACACACGTGGACGACTGGACGTTGGTGTAATATTGGTCCACCTCGTGATTCAGGCAAGTTGACTAGTGATTCAGGAAAGTCGACGGCTGATTAGACAAGTCTTTTTTGTGGCGTAGGACAAGCACGTCACATAACTGAAGTCTTCAGGCAGCAGATACTCATTGCACAGTGCAACGTGTTCACAAGGTGCAGGTAGAAACCTTTATCAGGATACAGCACGAGAAGGACAACTCGAGATTTCAACTCCTTGTAAAGATAGCTGTATCAAGAAGCGATGCATTCGTCGGTAGTCAATCATCTTCAATATTTCTAGCATTGAAGAATTTAACTTTAATGTCCCGCTGCTATGGCTTTCGATCGGGGCATCGATGAATCGATTTTGAACAGACTCAATTTCTGCTTTAACTGTAGCATACTTCCTTCCTTCTCTTCTAATCTTCGCTAACGACATTGCTCCTTCGGATTCTTGAATACACAGGATTTACACGGCATAACTCTTGGCAAGGGTCAGGGCACTTTTCTCCCCAGGGCTAACCCGGTTGTACAGCTCCATAACACAGGCCAGATGCTAAGCTTGCCGGGCTGGATGATAGTTAGGCATACACACATATTACAGAAATTGCACATTACTCATCTTTTTTCTCTATTTTCTATCTTTCTTTTTTTTGTTTCTATAAATGGATGCAGTCTTTTAATTACAAAATTTTGAAAGGGATCAGAAAAATGTCACACCTTTTAATTAACTTCACGAAACTTTATCAACAATATCCAAAGAGGGAAAAAAGGATATGTCAAAATATTCATAATTTGTTACTTTACAATAAGTGGGGCGTGCAAATTTTTTCTCTTGTTCAAATTCGAACAGGAAGTGATAATTTCATGCTTTCTCCAAAGAAGCTTATCCCTAAATTAACACAAAGTAACTTCAGGTGATTTATAACAAAACTAAATCTTTTGTTTTCATTAACTCTCGATGTTATTGATCTAACTCTCGATGTTATTGATCCAACTCTTATTATTTTGTTAAACATTACCTTGCCAGGGGCTGATTCCATCTCTTTCTCCTTGTTACTTTCCACCGACTGTTCCGCTTCCATCACCTCTCCTTCTTCTCTGATCTCCCCATCTTCCGTTTCGTTCGTCTCCAGAGTCTCCGCGGATGCAGCATCCTTTCCCTCGTCTGTGCCCATCGTCATGGAAACGGGTTTCTCCTCAGGGGCAGCTGCTCCGTCTTCCCTGCTTGTGGAAAGAGATGGGGGACATGGATGGAAGAATTCAAATCATAAATGTTAAGTACAAGTGTTTCACATCACATCACCGTTTCATAACGTCACTAAAAACAAAAAAATGGTGGATATGCTCAAGAAAGGAAATCCACAAATATACGACTAGAGAGAAATCTTTGCTAAAATGAGTACATTTACTTGTGGCTTGATACAGTGCGCAAGTGCCCCTGAAGTGGGTGTACTCACAGTGTATGCACAGATGTGTGTATGAAAGAGCAAGCAACAAAGAATGTGTTGGCTTGTCTTACACATAACATACATGTATACATACAAAAATATGAAGCCATACAGTTAAAAAAGAAAAAAAAGGCGAGTCTAAAACTCACAAAAGCTCATCAATAGACAGAGCATAGGAACAGCTTGTGCAGGGCAATAATTAATTTGCATTAACAAAAAAAAAAAAAAAAAAAAAAAAACACAACACATGAAAACAGCTTGTTTTAAGTTAATTTCGATATGGACGTGTAGCTTGTTTAGATACAATCAAGATGGCTCACACGTATGTACATCTGTACATCATATCAGAAACTGTATAATTGCTTGTTATGTGCTCTCTCTCTCTCTCTGTTTATATAAGTATTATTTACCATTATTTCTCATCATCTTTATCATTATACACATGATACGGCGTACACATGATATGACATACATGTACACGTAAGATAAACTACATCTGTATATCATATTAGTGTAATGCATACAGAGATATTCCACTTTCACACAAAGCTATTCCACATGAAATTTTAACAGTAAATCAAATACAACCATGCATTACAAAGGTCTTCTTAACAGTTTAACTTCTGAAAACTACAAGAGAAAGGAAACGACGCAATGTGATGTGCAAAATAACTTGACGACCCACGTAGTTGCGAGAAGCTTCATCAATCATGTCAATACGCCACAGATCTGGTCCTCCGAAATGCTTACTTTTCCTTTCTTCCGAAAAAAATCCTCGCACAAAATACAGGCAATCCAAACGGTCTTTAGTATAGAACGTTGTTTCAAAGAGCAATATCCCAAAATCTGATGCAGAATAGTGAGTGTGTCAGACTGACCATGTGGAAACCAAATGCACAATACAAAAGAGAAGTGCAGGAAAAGACCTTGGTCTGGTACGCACATGGGTTGCATGCAGAACCGGATAGTGGAATGTGGTATAGACTATTATAGGAATGCCACTGTATGTGTGTGTACATGTGTATGTGGGTGCACACATACAAAGGGAACTGTGTCACGTACAATGTACATGTATACACACAGACACACTCTTCAAGCATAATAATGTATACATCATTACATGTGTACAATGTGTAGATCGTGATCAAAAATACATTAGTGGGGATGGAACAAAGTGCATGAATTTGTATGCTCTATTTTATTGTTCACTTGCACAGGATACTGATATAATGATTAATGTACCAGGTCATGAAAATATTGATATTAGTGATTTCTCCCCCCCCCCTGAGCTGGGGGGGGGGGGGGGTAGGGTGAGAAGGGGTGGGAGAGGGGGTGGGTTACAGAACATGTTGCATACTATATTGCCTTTCATAATTCCTTTTATTTGTTCTATTGGGCAGCCTTAAATCTCATAAGGTGCATGAGCTACTATGGTGAGGCTATTAATAGTAATAGGCTACACTTTATATATTATTGAATAGGCCATTCCTGTATAATATAATAGGTCATTTCTGTATAATATAATCAAATTTAATGCATAAATCTTTGCAAATTACTGTACATTACATGTTGTTAGGTAGTTGTTCTCATTCGCATTCTCACTATAGACGTATAATCTATAGAAGTACAATTAGCCATTTCACGTGAATGGAATAATTTGTAACGTGGCATTTAAAGGTAAAGACCAGTATTGGAAACGCCCCAATTTTTTTTACTAATACATGATGATAAAAATGTTGCCGGGAAACCGCCTACTAATTGATATACATGGACAATGTATTTGGTAAATTAGTTTATCTATTGGGATGTGAGAGATAAACACATGTTGTGCATGTGTGCGTAGTCCCATCTTTCTGTGTACAGTGCTTACAACTTTATGAAGACTGGGCCAAATTTCTTATCCTTTTGATGATTCCAGATCAACCGATCGATTCCACAACGTTTCTTTCACAGTGCAATCGCATGACCATAACTGGTCTTTATCTTTAAAGGATTATGCATTAAATATGATTACTTTACGAAAATGGCATATTAAACAATACAAAGGATCATAGCTGTTGGCCTTGGGCATAAAGTCCTACAATAGATGTATGATCATTATTGCACAGTTAAGGAGAAATAAAGAAGCAGTTAAAGAGAATACAAAAATGAGTTTGTTCTTTTTGTACATAGCATGATGAACAAATGTCAATATTTTTGAAAGATCATTAAAAATGGTGAGCTTTTCTTTAATTTTTTTCTTTATTACTTACTGTTGTTGACATCATGATGGAAGCACACAAATATTCTTTATAAAAATAATGCCTACACCTGTACAGGGATAGTAATTCTCTGATTTTAACAAAATTTAAGTTTAATGCAGTTTCCAGCTACAGGGCACTAAACAGTACGGTGTCTGCAGACATTTACATTTAGTTAGAGGATAAGTCCACCCTAACATCTACAATATATAACCCTGTAAGTTGGGGCTTTGATCGGATCGAAAGATCGGAGCAACACCCTCGCATCTGTTATTGGTATTTTTTTTTTTTTTTTAATGCGGAAAATTTTTAAGTTTTTGGCTATCAAATGCTAAAAAAACATGCATAGCTGGGATTATTTTGTCATTTAGAGTTGTTGTAGACCATGTTTGTTGATATTAAGTGCCTTTTTCATGACTCTAAAATTTATAATATTAGTCTAATCCATCTTGGATTTTAATGGCAATGCACAAAAAAATGATGCCTACATTATAATCCATACATTCAGCTCAAAGGGCTTGTATCATATGATAATAAAACATTGGTGTGTGTGTAGAGGTACAAAAGGTATTGGTGAACTTCTGACTTGCATGCAGAGCTGCCAACCTTGTGCAATCAAAAAAAGGAATCATGATGGCAAAAAAAAAGGAATTCATAAAAACAAAACCTAAAACCACCCGCGACACACTTCCAATGCAGAAATGTTCATTCATCATGCTGTTTTTTCCATACAAGCAGGTAATTTTTTTGGTGGTTATTTTGGTATTATGGGCATTTCATTTTTTTTGAGAATATTTTTCTCTTCAAGTATGTTTTAAAATTAGTTTTCTATTGAATTTGTGATCAAATCACCATTTTAGTGCAGTTGTTTGACGTGCGGTATGTAAAAAAAAAAAAAAAAAAAAAAAGTATTAAAAACGTATTTTATGAAATAAAAACATAATACCGTAATTTGGAGGAAAAAACGGAGTAATTCCGGCAAAATCGGAATGGTTGGCATATATGTATTGGTGCTGAAGGCTCATTATAATACATGTAAACGTATTAATGTGAGAGCACCTAAAACATCCCATCACTTTCCCACACAAAGTAATGTCATCTTTATCTTTACAGATGAAATGTGACAACTTGACAAGGCCCTTTATTTTCATTTGATTCTGCGAGAATACACTCTACATCACTATCAGGACTCACTTAAAGGGATCGTTTAACAATGTTAAATCTGAGATACATGGCCCTACGTGTTATCTGTGTCTGTGATATGGTGTAATATTGAAGCCCTAAAAAAATTGCGCTTCAAAATGATCAAGAAGTGCCTCAAAAAAGTAAAAATATTTGAGTGACCGGTTTTACCATACTCGTTTTCCCCAATAGACTGTAGTGTTATGAAAACCGTCAGGCGAACGGTTTTCAAAATTTGTAATTTCAATCATAAATATCTTAATAATCAGACAGGCGATCGGCTTGTAAAAGTCATGGGGTTCCTGACTGACCTAAAGGTTTATAATTATCTTTGCCTCATGAGCTAATTCAAGAATTTTGTTTCAGAATCTGTGACAAAGTTACCGGATCCCTTTAAGATCATCTTGACACACAGGTCTTTTCAAAATTCTACACCATTTCTTCAAAAGTGTGTAACATACATTATACAATCATCCCTGCATTAGAATTCCAATAACATACAATGATTAAATTTGTCTTTTTCGTACATGATGTTTCCATTCTTGGTTATGTTACATGAACAGCAGAGGGTTCTGCCATAATTTTATAGTTTTATCCAACTTTTTTGATTGGGAAATTCCACAGGGTGTACTATTTTCAAAGGATCACTATGAAATATTACTTCTGTAAAGAGTAAAGAGATACTGCATGGTCAAATCCGAAATTTATATTACGCTCTCATTCAAATCAGCAACTCTACACAACTGTCTGCAACACAGGTCCAGAAGGTGGAAACAAAATATTGCTTTCAGGGGAAAAGGACTTGTATCTTTCTCACCACTACAGACAACACAGATCCGGCAGAAAATTGATGCCGAGTTTAGGAAAAAGACGGCTTGGATTGATAGCAAATGCTTTCATAAATTTACATGGATGGAGTATGCCAATTAAAAAAAAAAAAAAAAAAAAAAAAAAAAAAAAAAAAAAAAAAAAAAAATCCATTTTCAATTTCAAGATGGTTTGATAATATGCATCTGCAAAACAGCTACTAAGAGCTAATTTGGATACTTCTAATTTCAAGAGGCAACATGCTATCACAATGAAATGAAGAGCAACTAAATGTTCCAGCTTGAATTTCAACTCTTGAAACCCGACTGCTGCACATTGCATGATTTGCTGAGGTATTGGAACCCAACTGCAACCCCATATGGCATCACGGTAAGGCTGTGCACAACATTGTAATGAGGTACCCGAGTACACTTCCAGGCTTACAAGCGAATACTCGAGTATTCGGACGCCATGTTTTTTTATAATTTTAATTTTTTTTGTTGTTGATTTTTGATTTTTTTTGTGCCACCACCATACCACTGGAGCAGTATCCCAAGTCCATTGCCGAAAACGCATGCAATTTTACTTCGAGTTGCAGTTGAAGGCGCCAATTTAATAATAATAATAACAGTAGTGCTGTAACATCACGGATATCTCCAATTCCGTTTAACCGCCTGTCAAAACCGGACGGTTTTCGGTTAAACGATTTATTTAAAAAAAAAAAAAAAAAAAAAAAAAAAAAAAAAAAAAAAAAAAAAAAAAAAAAAAAAAAAAAAAAAAAAAAAAAATCGTTTTTTTGTTGTTTTTTTTTTGGCCGTGTGAAAAAGCAGGAAGGTGATTTAACTGAAGGCGCCGATTTGTGCTTGTGAACTAGTCACAAATAATAGTAACAATGTCGTTTTAGAATAATATGTAAGATCATTAAAGTAAATTAAAAACAGTAGAGGACCTAGGATAGAACCTTGTGGTACACCATGTGTTAAACTTGGATGAATATATATTGAGATCTATTACAAAGATTACTTTCAAACCAAGATGACAGACAAATTGGAGTGTTGTTCTAGTTTCCAAGTGGTAAGTCATCACACCGATTACTGAGCTGGAAGACATTGCCAGGCATAGTGCCAGGTGGAGGGGCATAAATCGAAACTTTAAAAAAAAAAAAAAAAAAAAAAAAAAAAAAAAAAAAAAAAAAAAAAAAATTATTAAAAAAAAAAAAAAAAACGGGAAAACGAAACCGTCCAATTGAAAACGGAATCCGCCATGGGCGGTCGGATACCGGACGGTTAAACGTTTGACTACAGCACTAAATAACAGTAAACAATGCTGTTTTAAAAACCAAAGATTGCAGAATAATCCATTTTCCTCCAAGTCCAAACAGAAATCTGGACATTTGGTCCCAGTTTCTGAGAGGTGAGTTTGACAGTGCTTGAGTTGGGAAACATTTTTACCGACGACACCATGCCAGCGGCCGCCGCTCTCCCTGGCACAGGTAACCGTCGGCCTGGGATTTTTTAAATTTTTTTTTATTTGCGGCCGAATATTCAAGTATGCGAAATCCTACCCGAGTAGTTGTCAACCGTGCGGGTACTCGAGCATTTGACTACTCTTCGCGGCCCTACATCACGGTATCATAAAATTTTAAAAAGCTCCTCTGTAAAAGGTATTTTGGTGGTTGCAACTCATGAAATTACAGATGTCACAAACAAGTTTAGTTTGGCTGATAAGTTGTCTCAGAATATCATTTTTACTACCTAAATGTATAAGAGCATTGAACATGACTTACCTAGGACTGGTAACTGGAAGGGAACTTTCTTCTGATCCTTTCACTGCATCTTCCTTGTCTGATTCTGTCTTCCGGCGTTTTGAGGGGGTATCTGGCTGATCCTGATCACCAGCATCCTCAGGAGGTGTAACACGCTTTCTAGGAGACTTCTCAGCTGAGGGTTCATCCTTCATATCCTCATTCTTGTTTGCAGGTACATCTCCTTTTTCGGAAACCTCAGGTACACTCTCTTGAGTTTCCTCAGGTTTCTTCTCTTCTTCTCCAGTCTTCGATCCCATGCTTCGACTGAGGTTGGCAGACCTGTTCAGCTTCACCCTCTTTTGACTAGGGAACTGCTTACTCTCGCTCTGCTGTTCTTCCTTGGTTTCAGGAGCTTTGCCGGTTTCGTCATGACTTGCCGCCTTTTCTGTCGCAACTTGGACTTGGTTGGTGGCTTGGCCTTGGCTGGCAGTATCCTCTGCAACTTCTCCTGAAGGTTTTGGTTCCGTTTTGGCTTGCTCTCTTGCCTCTGGCTTTGAACGGACTGTGACTTCCTTGATGTCTGTAGGTTTGTCCTGTCCTGCCTCCATCTGTTTGGAAGATGCCTGATCTGGGAGGTTCACATCTTTACGAGCGCTTGTCTGCTCGACCTTAGAGCCACTATCTTTGGCTTCCTCCACTTCTGGTTTCTTCCCTTGTTCCATCTGCACTGCAGCTTCATTTTTAGCATCTGGAGTTGGAGTAGGCTCGACTTCATCCACCTTCTCTTTTGGTGCTGAAGGTTCAGCTACCTTCTGTGCCTCATCCTGAGTTGCCTCTACCTGGACATTCTTTTCGACTTCCTTGATGATAGGCTGCATTGGCTCTACTTCCTGGGGTGGCTCCTTCACCTCCTCTTGCTCCTCCTCCTGGTCTTTACCTCTGGAGCTGTTCCTCCTTCTAGTCTTCCTTGTCTCTGACTCCACCTCCGCCTCTTCGTCCTGCTTTGAACTCTGTCTGCGGGATCTTCTGGACGATCTACTGGCAGGAGATTGTTCCTCTGGAGCCGTTTCGACGTCTTTGTCCGCAGTGCTTTCTCCATTTGTAGCCTCTTCTGGTTCCTTCTCGGCCTCCTCTGACTGGCTACGACTCAAGGATTGGTTCAGCTCATCTACCTGGTTGGCCAGCGCTTCAGGAATATCACCCTTGTCAGCCTTGGCTTCATTATCTACAGTAGCTGTGATACAAGGAACAGGGAACAGTAGTGTTTTAAACAGATTGATGATACCTGAATATGTGCATTTAAAACAAAGACTATTTTGTTTATGTGAAGATTTGCTTTTGTTCACCTGAACAGTGTGTTTTTAATATTTAATCAATATCTTAAAAAGAATACTTTACTAATTAGAGGTAAATTTAAAAAGGAAACCTGTCATTTAAAATAATTTTTCTTGCCCCCCCCCCCCCCCCCCCCCAAGTAATCTTTATGTACACGTCTAGTATCTGGTCACTTGCTGTCTCATGTGATAACTAGAGAAGAAAAAAAAAAGAGGAAAGAAAAATCAACCCAAAATTAACAGCACAATTGACATTTTTCTAGTCACAAATCCAAGCTCCAGTACAAGTAAGAACTCGATAGAATTTCATTACCATCTCCTAATGTTGTTTGTTATGAATGGAAGAAAGTACCTTTGACTGTCCCAAACACAGGGTTGACTGTACTATCACACATGTATACATTTCAGTTATAGTGAGATATTTGGCTGAATAAGATTTACCATGTCTCTGTTTCAGCTGCTCCTGTTGCTGTTTAAGGTACTGCTGGATGAAGGAATTAGATGCAACAGACTCATCGTCAACAATCTGTAACAAGAAAAATATTTAAAAATTACTTGAATTTAAAAAAAAAAAAAGGAATAGGCATGCAATTTCATGTCTGCTGAAGATATCAACAATATGAAATAATATTCCTACCATATCACTATTTGATTCCAATTAATTCTTCAAGTACTAAAATATTGGGTAAAAAAATGACCAATACAAGGTGTATTCAACCAACTTTGGGCATTTTCTTGAACAAACATATACATGTTTATTGTCCAAATAGGGTGAAAAATTAAGAATAGTGACTATAAATTAGGGAAACTAATCAAACTATCAACCACGATGGGTATAAAAAAATGCCCAAAGTTGGGTGGATACAAAATTACTCTCTTGTCACATTTTTGCCCAGTGTTTTTAAGACTGTTTACATTCATAAAACAATTAATTAACTTAACCAGTCCACTTTGTACCTCTGACATTTCTACCCTAGACACTTTACCCCTGACATTTTTACCAGAGACACTTTACCCCTGACATTTTTACCCTAGACACTTTACCCCTGACATTTTTACCAGAGACACTTTACCCCCGACATTTTTACCCTAGACACTTTACCCCTGATATTTTTACCATTGACACTTTACCCCTGACCTTTTTACCATTGACACTTTACCCCCGACATTTTTACCCTAGACACTTTACCCCTGATATTTTTACCATTGACACTTTACCCCTGACATTTTTACCATTGTCACTTTACCCCTGACATTTTTACCCTAGACACTTTACCCCTGATATTTTTACCATTGACACTTTACCCCTGATATTTTTACCATTGACACTTTACCCCTGACATTTTTACCATTGACACTTTACCCCTGACATTTTTACCCTAGACACTTTACCCCTGATATTTTTACCCCAGACACTTTACCCCTGATATTTTTACCATTGACACTTTACCCCTGACATTTTTACCCTAGACACTTTACCCTTGACATTTTTACCATTGTCACTTTACCCCTGACATTTTTACCCTAGACACTTTACCCCTGACATTTTTATCATTGATACTTTTACCTCTGGTGTGTGTGTGTAATTGGGTTTTTACAAACGTGTATCAATCAGATATAGTTATTTACATCTGGGACCGACATTAAACATCACCATCCGATAGACGTGACTCAGTTTCGAACCACGGTCGCCCAAGTCAGTCTGTACGCGAAGACAGAGAGCTGACCAACTCACATCTCCCCATTTTTACCTCTGACATATTAACCTGGCACCATATCAATAGGGTCGCCAATTTGTGTTCAGGCTGTTGATACAGACTGTAGATTATTACTTACATCTTGATTGGGCACTCCTTCATGGACAGGGGCTTGCTTCAACTCCTCTAGGTAAATTTGCTGAAATATAAATGAAAAGAAAGGGGAAAAAAATTAATGAACAAATACATGGAAGTACAACAAATTGATTGAAACAACTCAGGATTTGGTCCGTATTAAATCCCATGTACTAACAACATGCCTGAAATCAAATTTGCAGTAAAAGAAACTTCTTATTTATGATGAAAACAACATGACTGATTTCATACTTGCGTAGCATTTTAAAAAGTTAAGTATTTTACTTAAGTTTAAAAATTCTCATTTGTGTTATATCTAAGGTACAAACTTGCAAGTTGTACTGAAATGTTTGATAATTTTTCTATTTTTTGTGTGTAGCCACTGCATGCTTAGTGTGCGTCAGTAATGTGTGAAGTGCGTCACCTGTATAACGCATGACATGTCAGTGTGTTATGTAAGATTAGGCATTGGCATTGTCATTGCGCTCTCTGCTTTTAAAGCGGGCCCTCTCTCACTTAAATTCGAAACCGCTCGAGTGGACCGGCCAATGGGAGCAAGTAAACTCCCTGTACAGCGCTCAATGCTTAAAGTTCTACGTGTACAGCACCTAAAAGAAAATTTCTTCAAGTTTTCGTCCTGACGTGGTTCAGACAGTCTATTTTGTAATATACAAATAACACAGCGTCCCAGCGTACAATAGCGGTGAATGCAGTACACGTGAGGTTTCTTTAGATTGGTGCCGCTCTGTGCAACGAGCCGCTTGCGGCAAGTTCACAGTGCGCACTATCTGAAGAAACCGAGCGTACACTGCATTTACGTTTCGCACATCAGGGTCAAGTGAGTTATTTGTTTTATAAAATAGTGACACAAATAAAAAAAATAAAAAAGTTTAGATCTTAAGTTAGAGTCTACGATCGAGAGTTCGATCTAGAGTTATGTTGGTTCTAGACTAAGACCTTGCAGGCTTATCAAAAAGTCCACAGGATTCATTGCCTTGATTAAAAATAAAATCCATATGGGGTCTAGAGACGAGTCTACATCAGACAGCTGAAATTCCTGGCTTCATTATAAAATCCAAAATCCTAAAGTCAAAACAGGCCTAAATCCAAGGCAAAAGTAAAATAAAAATTTGCTTTCTAATAATACCCCGCTCTATAGCTAAGCTAAGCGTACGCTGCGCTGGGGATCATGGTGGAGGCTACGCATAGCCAACAATGCACTCGAGGGAGCGTACTACATGTACGCGCTGGATATCCATGGTAACGTGCGATATAACTTTTTTTGGCAAAATCGTGCATGCATCAAAAATTTGTGCATGTCATGTGATGCGTATTGACCAATCACGATGCTTAAAATACTAGAGCCATTTTATAAATATATTTATTGTATGAATTTGCTGAATACTCAGTACCTAATCTCCGTGTATAAGGCGCACTTTTTTTACCGTCGGGAAAAATCCAAAGTCGGGGTGCGCCGTATACACAGGTACAGAATATGTCGAGTCCTCAAAATGCAACTTTTTAGTGGTTTTCAAAAATATGTGTCTCAACATGAATTTCATAAGGTAAATAAAGAATAGAATCTACTATTTGAAGTAAAACTACATTCCTAATTTGAAGGGAAGAGATTTTTTTTTTCCAGTCTCGATAAATTATGCCCTTCACAAAGCACTTTGCTGGCCGAAGCTCTCCCGTGTCTTCAGTTCACTCACCTGTGTCATGCAGCTCACTTACACGGGGGCAGATTTGGTATCCTACCACGATGTGTGCTGTAATACGGAATTGCAATTTTAACCTGCGCAGTTGCATTGCACGGCAGCTAGCTTCGTAAGAAACAATCTTTCACGTCCCTTCTTTTACTTTTTGGCATTATGGTACGGATTTAGATCTAAATCTATCGGCAGATTTTATTAGAAAAATAAGTTATGCAGTTTATTTTCGTCTTCATATCAACAATGCAACATAAAATTGTCGGTAAGTTGTGTGGAGTTATTCTAGAATTGTCCTGTACCATTGTATAGTCATTGTAGTCCCATATGTTCAAATGAACGTGCTGTTTTGACTGCTGGATTTTGTTGTTGTTGTGCAAAGGTCTAACTTAGTTCAGAAGCACTTCCTTCAACTGTGCCTCGTAATAAAATGAAAGTATTTCCGAACTCTGAAATAAGACGGGATCTGATCTGGTTTTAACAAAAAGCAAAAAATAAAAAATAAAAGCAAAAAGAATTTCCTGATTTTTTTTTTTCTTCCCGATTTTTTTTTTTCCAATTTTTTTTTCCAATTTTTTTTTTAAGTCTTAAAAATAGGGGTGCGCCTTATACACAGGTGCGCCTTATACACGGAGACTTACGGTAATAGTAATAATGGACGGTTCTCCTGATGACCCTTGACATTGCACATGAAACCATCGCTCCCTCGTTATTGGTATTAAAAACGTTGACGTATTTTATTTGAGTGCACAATACACATGTATACATGTAGAGTCATAGACCGCAAAGGGAAGCGTGCAATTTCTATGGGAATTGTTTTAAACACACAAAACTGAGTGTGGGATCAGACACTTACATGTACATGTATGTGTGCGTCTGTTATGCATTGTCATTGTGCTCTCTGTTTAAGTGAGCCCTCTCTCACTTTAATTTGAAACCGCCTGAACAGATCGGCCAATGAGAGCACGTTATCTCAGATAATCTGACTGTAAAGCGCTCAATGCGTAAAGTGCTATGTGCGGTTTGCCGTGACCTGTGAGAAGGTGTATACTACTAAAGTCTTCATTTTTAGGAATAATACTAGGCTTGAGTCGGTACGGTCGATCACACCGGGACCCGACCGTTGCCGTCGGGTCCCGGTTTCGTTTTTTGAGAACCGACGCTCCGAAAAAAATAATGAAATATGTAAGAAATTGCAGTTTTGCACACCACTAAAATCATTCCACCTTGAAACTTAAGTATTTAATTGTTACCAATCATATTCTAGCTCATCCTGAATCAATCCGAACTGCTGATATAAATATGGGTTGCAAAGCAGTTCGCCCCATGGGGTTGTTGTTGCCAGCTGCTAGCTAGCTACTGTACTGGCCGGGTCTCTCGGCAGGATTAATAAATCAGGTTGAAAGAAACATTAATGTTTGAATAATAAAACGGCTTTCTAAAAAGTACTTCTTTACAACATACCGATCGAATAATTTTTAAAAGACAAAATGGATATTATTTCTTTGATTTTGAACACCGCATGTTTCTTTTAAAAGCTGAAAATTACTTGGTAATCACAAGAAGTTTCGATACGGATAGCTGTTGCAAGGCAAGTTCAGACTAGTCTCGGAAAAATGCGCAGTGCTCCTCGTAGTTAGCTGTAATCCGTGCCAGAACGAACCCAAACAAAGACGTGATCGTAACGAGAAAAAATCATTAAAAACTACGAGAGCACAATTGGAAAGACAACTACTCAAAATTATCGTAAGCAGATACATAACTTGGAGGAATAATACAATAGTTGTCCAAGAAAAGCCACAGAAATAGTGATATTTAAGGAGTTACTATAGGTACAATCATTATCGGAATGGGCCTGCTGATATGTCCGAATTACACGTTATTTGGTTTCTAGCCTCGTGTTCTAACACGAGGCTAGAAACCAAATAACGCCCTCTACGTTAAAAAGCAGTATAACAAAGGATTCGAGTATTTGCAGCAAGCCCCTTGCGATAAAAATGTACCCAGTTACTCCTCGATTATCACAATTTCTTTGGCATTTCTTGGGCGATTATTGAATTCTTTGTCCAAGTTATTTATCTGATTATCGTAATTTTGAGCAGTAGTTGTCTTTCCAGTTGTGCTCTCGTAGTTTTTAATGATTTTTTTCTCGTTACGATCACGTCTTTGTTTGGGTTCGTTCTGGCACGCATTACAGCTTACAAGGAGCACTGCGCATTTTTCCGAGACTCGTCTGAACTTGCCTTGCAACAGCTATCCGTATCGAAACTTCTTGTGATTACCAAGTAATTTTCAGCTTTTAAAAGAAGCATGCGGTGTTCAAAATCAAAGAAAAAATATCTATTTTGTTTTTAAAAATTATTCGATCGGTATGTTGTAAAGGAGTACTTTTTAGAAAGCCGTTTTATTATTCAAACATTAATGTTTTTTGACCCGATTTATTCAACCTGCATGAATCAAAATGGCGGCTCGATCGTTGTCTTTCTATTTTTGCTCCCGTTTTTTTACTTTTAGAGCCACGATAATGGCACTAAACATCGCCAATCATGGATAAAAATAATGTCAAATGGAAGAATATACCGATCTGTGCCGAGGTATGCATGTGTTGATTTATTTGACTGATAAAAAAGGTCACTTTTAAGGGACATACTGATGATATGCGCTTTTTATAGAGGCAAGTGACAAATCCTGCGAGCTGATTTCGGGACACCGGGTCCCGATTGGTGCAAGGCCGTCGGGACCCGGTTTATGAAAATCCCGACATGACTCAGGCCTAAATAATACTCCAAAAAAGATAAAGAAAATTGACACAAAAGAATTTTATGATCGTTATTTGAACAATTGTGGAAGATTTATATGATTTTTGGTGTGTTTAGAGTAAAGGAGGGGGTTTTCGGCCACTTTAGACAAAATCCTATTTTTTGGACCCTTTACTTCCTATTTATTATCATTTCTTGTTCAAATCATGAAGCAAATATTATTATTATTTAAACAAAAAAAGAATCCCAGAAAAAAATCACGAATTGCCATGACAATATTCATTTCAATTTTCACTGTTTCGGAGGCAGTTATCGGCATAGCGAACCAGTTTTCGGCCGCATGTACAAAGTCAATAGGAAGTGCGTTTACGCGCTGATCTATAGCACTACCGGGCAGAGCAGGTATCCCACGCCGGAGCTCCCCAGAGCTCGCCAGGCCGAACACTAGTACTACTGTGATCGGAAATTGGAATCTGAATTAGACAGAGATATCGTGTGTGCGTTGCGGTGTCCGGCTGCATTGATTTAATACATGTGGTGAGATACTTTTGAGCTTGCGACTAACACAAAATCGTGTGCGTCATTTTCAGCTGTCGAATGTCTACGACCAATTTTACATGTACGATTTTTAGTACAGATACTTGGTCAGTTTTCTTCTTATATCTTTGGTTTTACAACATTTGAAAATATAATTTCTTCAAATTTGCTCCTGACTCGGTTCAGACTAGATCTAATTGTCTGATGTGTTTTCAAATCAATTTCTTGAATATATTTTTTTGCATGAATTTGCCTATCGCTGGCAATGAGAAAAACGGATTCTGCGTTATAAATTTCACAGTTCATCGTCTTCTTTTATGAGTTGTCCGTCTTCCCGAGGCTTTATCGCTCATAACGTGAAAGTCTCTGTACAGAGTCAATGTCAAATGCATCAAGGAGCATTATCGCGGAATCTGTTTTTTCACCAACGCGCAGATCGGAAATAAGAATCATCCGCGAAAATGCAAATGATCCTTATCTTTCAAGACGTGTTTACGATGAAGACGATCCTTGTTTATGCGTACAATCCTTACTGTACTGGTGCAGCTGTGGTAAACAACTCAACAAGCGCCCTTTTCCCCCTGAAATTATTAGTGAAACTGAAACTGAAACTTTGAGAGGCTGAATCAAAACAACAAAATACAATTTTCTTCAGACACCCTAGTAGTAGTCTACTACTACTAGTAGATCGAGGCCTAATTTCACAACATGACAAAACAAGTTCTTAGTTTTACAGGTGTTGGTGGCAACGACATTGCTCCTACAAAGCCGAGGCAAAGTCAATGCCAGGCCCAATCCAGGCCTAGGAAAGGCAGCGGGCAAGGGAGGCTCGCCCGACGCGGCCGAGTGCCTCGGCTTTTGCATCGGCCCATGCGCATCCCAAGCAAGCGAGCTGCACTGCACTGGCGCGGCTTTGAACGTGAACAAAATTTACCGAAGTTTATACAAGATATGTGTCCCTTTCCTTACCCCTTTAAGACGATCCACTAGCTGAATCTTGCTACCATTAACTGACACACCATATTTCTTCAGTTGTTGTTTGAGATCAACAACTCTGAGGGATTCAATTGGCCTTCCGTCGGGAAGCGTCACTGATTCTTTGCTTTCCGCCATCTTCGAAAAACGTAAAACAATCTAAAACACGCGCGGAAATGCATAAAATAACGCGCACGCAATGCGCTGCGTACGTACGCGATTATACGGGGATCAGAGTAGGAGATGGGAGGGGTCCAAAAATGAGAGAGAGGGTCAAGGGGCGGGAAAGTGCCAGAATTACTAAGCTCCTTGCCTTCGTAACTAACTGTGCAGCCCGGCCCCTCCCTGTTATCTTTTTGTCTATATTTCTGGAATAATTTTGTGTCCTATTTGCTTTCAACTTACGTGTATACACCTACTGAATAATTATAAGGATACCCATTCCTCTTCTGTCCACCTTTCCGTCTCCTCTTCCCCCCCCCCCCCCAGCTCTTCCCCCTCCCTCTCTCCCCCTCTATCTACCTCTCACTCACTTTCTCTCTCTCTCTCTCTCTCTCTCTGTCAATATCCATATACATGTACCTGCCTCAATCTCTCTCCTCCCATTCTATTGGTTCATCTTATAATCATATTGCTGCATCTCACATGCATTTTGATTGTAAATTGTTTACTTTTATGCATTCAGAGGAAGATCATTTAAACCATTTAACTATTTTTAATAAGTTTGATTACACGTATACTTAAATGCTATACATTGTGCTTGAAAGCTTGCTATTTGTATGCATTGGCAAAATACAAATCAAATATCTTGTTATGGCGCCACATAAAATTTCACTTCCTTCCTCTATATAGGCTATTGAAATGCAAACATTGATCTTACTGGAAATGGTATTGAATAGATACAAAAAGGATATGAACATATTTTGAATCTGATTTTTTTTCTTCAATCTGACTGTACTGGTCCTAAATTTAAGTACATTTAGAAGGAAAAAGGTAAGACAAGATAAGTAATGGTAAGATTCCATACAGTAAATATGATTTATTACAGGCATTATGACATAACAATGACATTCCAGTATTAAATTTATTTGATATTTCAGAATAACTTGTGTGTATTGACCATATACATGTAAATGCAATTGTCGATAATTCATTCAAGGAACACACACAGGGCCACAGGCTGTATATGACCTCCATGTGTATATTATTGTCAACAACTGCTGCATGCACATCATATACATGTATCTTTTTCTATTCCCATTTGTATTTGAAATCCAATTTGTGCAATAAAATAAATAAATGCAATAAATTCTGTTTCTGAAAATGCACAAAATAGATGCGAGCTAAATGAGGGGAAAACAAATTTCAGTTGATTAATTTGCAGTTCAGAAACACATACCCTATATACTATTTTTATGTAAGAAAGTGGCTCTTTCTGAATATCACGTTTAAAGTTTATACATCTACATTTGCATACATGTACATTGGTAATTGGATTAGAAAAATAATGACAAAATGTGAACTTGGAAGCCCAATAATTGAATATTTTCAAGATAATATACTATTCTTAAATATATCATAAAATTGTAAAAATATGAAAAAATAGCTAGATATGAACAATTACTTGGTTATGCCGTCCTTATATAAACTGTACAAAATTAAAATAAAGGCAGGAGAACATTATGTAATACAAGTAGTCTAGAAATTACTTTAAAAAAATAATTCTGATTAATAGGCAGGTACATGTGTAATCATCAAGCAAAATATTGTCGCTGTTTTCACGAAGTGACGGTAGTGAAAAAAAATTGCATTCACTTTGCGTTACGATTTTCCTCACTACCGTCACTTCGTGAAAATAGGGAAGATATATGTTTTTCTACTTAGCAATTATGTTAACAATGGTGATGCTACACATTTTTGAATGGGGAGGGGTTGTCAACTTGCCATCAAACAAAACTTGGTATCTAATTGCCCCCCCCCCAAAAAAAAAAAATAAAAAATAAAAAAATAAAAAAAATCCAACAAGCAACATATTGTGTCCTAAAGAATCATTGACTTTGTTAAATATGCTTTAGTTTTAATAATTAGTTGAGAATTTGTAAAAAAATTCTCATTTTTTAGTGATCCAGAGCTCTTTTTCAGCTTTTAATCTATATAACTTTTTTATTCATTGCTCATATTCTAAAAGCTGAATTTAACAAAGGTACAGGTATACACTTGTATTAGAAAGAGCTAGTAGTTTAAACATTTTTCCTTCATTGCTTTTACGCTACCAAATTCCAACATAATTTCTAATGCTATTTACATGTAAACTTGCATACAAAGAAAGAGAGAGAGAGAGAGAAAGAGTAATGACAAAAGATATTTAAAAAAGTTAAAAACAGCTAGATACAAACATTGTCCCTCGCGAGTCCAGTGACAGAGGACAAAAAAAGGCACGATCAATATCATTCACCTGTAATTTGCTTATCACATCTTTTTCAAGAGAAAATAAAAAGTATTTGGGTCTTTTTTTAACAGAGATCAAATACATTGGATATTTCAGGTGTAACAAAACTGACATGTATATGATTTTTAGCAACAGATCCTGAATGCAGCAAAAGTACCTGAAGTACAGCAAAAAAGTGCATACTACCAGTACCTGTATATACTTCTGATTTTTAGGACAGGTTGAACATCATTCATCACACACAATAATGGAATGCATATCAGTAAAAAAAAAAATAGTACAACAAATCACATCCTTCCATTTTCCAGGTACAGATCAATCCTCTCGTACAAAAAAATATATCTCTTTTCTCTAAGTACAGTGTACAACACTCCATTGCTGATTACATCATTGTTTTTTTCAGAAAGATTAAACATCTTACACATCTATACATGGCTATACAATACATAGATTTTATTCAAATATGAAATCATTTATCATCCACGTGAACAGGCACGTAGCCACGAGGGGGGGGGGGCATGTAGGGGCATGTGCCCCCCAAAAATTTCCAAGATCTGTTGAACTCTTTTAGACCCCTTTTTTTTACCTCGTTAGATTACATGTACCCCCCCCCCCCCCCCCCGCCCCCCCCCCCAAACATCAAACTCTGGCTACGTGCCTGCATGTGAAGTCTCTCAAAAAACCCTACCTCTGCTTGAGTGCCATATATATCCATCTTAAATGTATTCCTTTAAAATCTTTTCAAGCAGTGATGTAATATTTCACTTCATACAAAATGCATTTTTTGTATTATTTTTTAATGATCTTTTTCTTGCCAATGATCAATTGCTGACATTAAAAGAAAAACAAACAAACAAAAAAGAAGAAAAGAAAAATCAATCAATCACTCAGAAAGAGCAGGGTATTACTACTACAGTCAAACCTGCTTTAGTGACCACCTGTCTACAAAGACCACATTTGTTGTTTCCCTTGAAAATGGTTTCTCATTGAATCATTTACTAAAGGAACCTGTCTACAAAGGCCACTTTTTGTGTTTCCCTTGGGTGGTCGCTATAGACAAGTTTGACTGTAGTTAGGATTAACCTCATGACAGAAAGTTCTACATCCTTGGTTTGATGGTTGCATGGTACAGACTTTTGCCCGCCCTGCCATCAGCAAAGGTAAAGTCCATTCCCGACGGTGTTGCTTCCATGTAGGAAAACCCTCCCAGGCTAGCCTGGTCAGCATAGTGGAACTTCACCCAGGGGGCTGGCACATCTGCCTTGTGAGCCACCGAAGAATCTACCACGTGAGCCGATCCAATCACAAAGTATTCCACACTGGAGTTGTCTTCCTTGATGTGTTGCAGGTTGTGGTCATGACCGCTGAAGTAAGCGCTCACATTGTACTTAATCAGCATTGGTCGTAGACCGTTGACGAGGCAATCTGTTGGACCATGCTCTGCGATTGACCATACGGGGTAGTGTCCTGCAACGATGACGTAGGTGTCATTCATGGTTGCCTTCAGCTGATCCTCAATCCAGGCAAACTGCTCTGTTACCATCAGCAGATCTTTGGGCTTCGTCGGTTGCTGCAGCACGTCGGAGTCGTCGGTGTTCCCGCACAGCATGACGGTGTCGATCATGATGAAAGTGACCGTCTCCTGGCTGGAGGGTATCTGATAGCGCAGCGTGTAATAGAAAGAGGGAAAGTTCCATCTCTTGGACACCTTGGAGTAGTCTATCTGAGCCTGAACACTGCCGTGCCAGTCATGGTTCCCCGCCACCAAATACCAAGGAACCTGCAGAGAATCTGCTGTAAAGACATCTTCGAATGTTTCATTGAAACGAGGATCGTCAACACTAGAAACCCCAAAGTAGTAGAAGTTGTCCCCTAGCGCAAGGACAAACTGGGACTCGTAACTTGACGCTAAAATCCCCATCTGCTTTGCCACATTCACCTCACAGGGTGTGACGAACGGGGAAGTTGATTGGCCGCCCCAGTCAGCGAGTACCATAAAGTTCAATGAATCATTTTGACCTAAGTAAACAGCAAAAGACCCTTGCTGTAGAAAAGCAAAAACAAGAAAGATACACGATATATGAAGTGATGCAGTTACTGTGATAGCGCCCATCTTAGTATCTATTTTCTTGCCTGCTCAGCTCCTCAGCTCAGCTCAGTAAAGTAGTCTAGTGACAAATACTCGTGAAAAGAGGAAGTTAAAAAGTCTACCGTCTACTCTAGAGTAGAGACTAGACACATCTGGATGCCTTCTTTTTTCTTCGCCGAAATTATCAGTCAGTGTCTGATCAATCATATATAACTCAGGTCTCAGCTGATCTCTTGCAGTAGAAATAGACGACAATAAGCAAACATTCTTGATCAAAACAGGAAGAAGTTACAAAACGGCGAGATATAGATGAAGGTTTCGTTCATCACATGATCGCTATGCAGTTTGATCAGGTGACCTGAAATTCTCATAGTCGTTTGTTATGCGTAACCTATAAATATTTTTATTTAATTAGGTAATTGTTTTATAATTTTATCGTTGACAAAGGTAATTTAAGAATAATTTAATATTTGAGTTTTTTTAAATTTAATTTAAAAGCATCAAAATAATTATTTTGATTTTTTAAATCAAAATAAATGATGACGATTACTATAAAATTAGTCGTATACAGCTGAAAAGGAGCTATCCCGCGCGAAATTTCGTAAGCATGATATATTGGGTATACCGATATATTGTTATGTCAAGCTTGCAGGGGCCCGTTCCTACAAACCGTCATAAGTCTAACTTCTTGACTAAATCAGCGTTAGTGAACAACTTGTCCGCTACGTGTTTCACCAAGCCCTCTTTGCCAAGATCAACGACAACATCCTGACTAAGGAGTTATGACACCTCTGACACCGTCGTATCTCTGTCATAACTATTTAGTCGATGGGCAGCGCCATCACATGTCATTTATTGGGTAGGCTATGGCTGGCAAAAAAGGACAATAAATCCTCCAACTATGATTTTTCTACACATTCACTTAAACAGTGAATTATCGTTTTTTGTATTTGATTATCTCATGAAAATATGCCATGTTTGTATTTAAGGATTTTTCCACTTAAATAAACTGATTATACGCCTTTATTTCCACATTGTAAACTCGTCGAAGGGATATGTATTTTGCCACGGCAGGCAAGCCATAGTTTGAAGTGTATTCTTTAGTTTTCAGACCCATATTAATTTCGAGATGAATTCTATTTTCAATTATGTAAAGTGAATGGTTTAAACATATGTTTTAACTTTTGAAATATTGAAGTTTTGTAATTTTTATATTGTGCTGACGCCAAAAACATTGAACACAAATTTCATTACATCGTATTTTTTCAAAGAATAATATAAGGGTGTATTTTTATAAACTATCAAATGAAAATATTCGGGGGGTGCCCATCTCAACAACAAAACTGATTCACTGGTCATGTAATGAAAAACTCACAATTATATTTTACAAGTACTTCAATTGTTTAATCTACACAAATTTGGAAGTATATTGGATCTCTTATTTCTTGGTATCATTTTCAATCTTTTTTATTACTAATTCATTTAAATAATTGCATTTTCCCTAATATTAATTTTGTAATAATCTGGTGGTATTGCGACTAAGGCTAATTCTCGGCTCCTCTTCTCGCCGATAATATCGATCTCACGAGATACTAGCTAGTAAGCTCTTCGTGAAACGGTTTAGGAAGATCAGAGACATCTCCGTAGTTGGCGGATAAAGTTATGACTGTCTTGTCGTTGGTTTCTAGGAACGAGCCCCAGCTCTCGCGTATACGGTATAGGGTAACAAATAAACTGGATCAAGAACCATCCTCTGTTGAACAGATCAACCATGTCACTTAAGGTTCGTTATTATGCTTCTATCTTATTTCTTGTAATACTATTTCCAGTTGAAAATGAATATGTTTTCCTGACTAGATCTAGATCTATTCCCCCCTCCAAACTCAGAAGTTGAATGAAATTTTATTTAACTATTCTACTTCTACTAATAAAAGTTTCTAGGGTCTACATGCCATGATTGTTTGTTGTTTGTGATAATTATAATTTTTTTTAAAATACTTTAGTAATAATAATGAAGATGGTAGGGGTGGTGCATGGTGATGATAATGATACCAGGTGATGATGGTACGTGATCTGGTGAATGATAATGATAGTATTAGTAACGGTGAAAATTATGAGATAATGTTGGATTTAATGCTGGTGACATTAATGTTAATTGAACTATATTGATGTTGACACTTGATGTGATCGATGGTGAACTGAAAGATGGCAATAGTGATTGATGTTCATGATGATGATGGTGATGATGATGATGGGGGCTGATGGTGGAGATGGAATTCACCCAGGCCCAGCATGCCCAGTGTTGGACCGAAAATTTCTGACTCTTTCGTTCGTTAGCCTCTGATTTGGATAGGTCGGGTCGGCTCCTTTCTAGAGAGAGGAGCCGACCCTACCCACGTAGAGAGGAGCTGACCCTACCCAAATCAGAGGCTAACAAATGAAAGAGACAGAAATTTTTTGGTCTAGCCCAGTGTATACATCCCCTTTCTCCGGCTATCTATTTGTCTTTTCGCTCATTTGCTACAACATTCTTTAAAAACTTATATCTGAGAATGGGAGGAACTAAATATACCCATTAGTGACTTGCTTTTAAAGTAATCAGTTAAAAATAGATTGTCCTTTTGGGTTCCTTTAAATTAAATCAAAATATTTTATGCACAACTGTTTTGAAATCTTTGTAAAGAAGTATATCAGTGATTATCAGGCCAGCCACCAAACCCTTGTGGACTACAATTTTCAAAACATTATTATTATTACTAATATTATTAATATTATCATTGCTATTATTATCATTATGGTTATTATTATTATGGTTAGTTTGATCTTTATTATTATTAATATTGTTATTGTTAATATTATTATTGTTATTTTATTATTATTTATTGTTGTTGTTAAGTTTTTGTTGCTTCTATTATTATCATTATTGATGATGAAGATGGTGATGATGATTATTATTATTATTATCAACGTCAACATTTTTTTTCTTAATTTCAGCAAAAGCTTCAGAGTGCCACTTCCATCCTAGGAGGGGGTGCTGTGCTATTCGTCGGCATCAATATCGCCAATGGCAACGAGAAGTTCTACCGTGACTTTGTGATGCCAGTATTCCGTTGGGTTGATCCAGAGAGAGCGCATGTCTTGGCCGTGAAAGCCGCAGCTTGGGGTCTGGTGCCAAGAAGCAAATACAAAGATCCTCCTATACTGGTATTTATTGATCACTGCTTCTTTTTTATTAGTCAAACCTGTTTGATGACCCACCTGTATAGAAAGGCCACTTGCCTCTGAAAATCACACATTTTTGTATCCATTGAATATTTTGTAAAATTAAAATGTGTTCTCATGGAATCTTTATATATATATATATATATATATATATATATATATGTGTGTGTACATGTACAGACCTATTGCCAATAAAAACAGATCCCCTTGAGCAGTTAATGTACAGCTGTCATTTTGTAAATTATTTTTTTGTAATTTCAATGTATGAAACAGCTATAGCTCATTCACCTTTACAGATGTACATTATGAGGGAATACTTTCAAAGCCTTATCACAGAGTCTTCAAGACTTTATTTTTTATTTAGCATTTTCTAACTTCTGTGAGGTATAGATTATTGTTTTCACTGTCTTATGAAAACAAGACTTATTTAGGGAAGATTGATCAATTTGTATGAAGTACAGATGCAGCCTCTTTTTCTTGTTGTTGGATACAATTTGATTTAGATAATACACACATTTTACATATTTTCCAGCTTGAGTTATGTTGGGATTTAATATTTTTTGTATACGGTAATTAACTTGCTGTAGCAAGATGCTAATCTTCATTTGGCACTCTCAACCCAGGTGATGCAAAGTAGTATTACCTAGTAAAACAAAACAAAAAATTATTACCTATGATTACAGGCGGCTATATTGAACATTTATGTATATATATATGTATATGTATGTATATGTGCGTATATATATATATATATCTATAAAAAAAGTTTAAGCTCACTTCCTTATTTTGTATTCATTATGTATCATGACTATATTGTTTATCTTATGAATTGATTTGTATATTATCTTTGTAAACACATTTTATATTATGTATTGTTTTATTTTGAACGCAGAAATAAAAGCAAACAAACAAACAAACATTTGGGACTGAGAGAATTCAGTAGTTAATGGGTAAAATGCTTGAGTATTTAATAGTGGGTGCTTTACTATAGCTTGAGTAATTAGAGTATTCAGTGTCCGTTCTTCCTCGAGTCCCAAATCCATCCGTTAATATCATGATTTGCAAATTCTCTTTATTAGTTGTTATATGCTCTTCTTTCCGTCTCAGCACTGCAAGGCCATGGGTCTAGAATTCACCAACCCCCTTGGTATGGCAGCGGGGTTTGACAAGCACGCAGAGGCCATGAATGGTCTCCTTAAGACTGGCTTTGGATTCGTAGAGGTCGGCAGTGTCACCCCTGAACCCCAAGAAGGAAACCCGAAACCCAGAGTGTTCAGACTGACAGAAGACAAGGCGATTATCAATAGGTATGGAAAGAGTCAGATTTAAACGTCATGATCAGAGATATATTTAGTAGTTCTTAATTGCAACTTATTAGCGATTTATATCGATTGCAATTATGTCCATAAGAGATAGGGGACTGCAAACTTGAAGTTGAAAAGAGGACTTGCGATTGATATCACAACTTTTTATGAGACGGGGGCCCTGATGGACAACTTTAAAGCAAAATTGACAACACTTTGTATAAATGCCTGGAATAGGGCCATGGAAACTCGTTTATATGCTTTTATTTTTTCTTATGTGCCATTGATTATTGATTGAGATGTACATTTTAAATGCCCATTGATTGATATTACTGAAATTATTGATTTAAACAACAATGATGAATATTGTAGAACATATGATAAGTCAGTCCATTTAAAATGCTTGAACCTGAATTATGAGGAGTTCAAGAATCCTTAATATAAAAGCATTATCTTATTCCAATTTTCAGGTATATTTTTATTATCATTGAATTTATCAATGAATTATTTCTTGTTTTCCCACATTGATGTAGATTAACTGTTTTCATTTGGAAGAAATAAACACATAAAAGGGGGAATTGGAGAGAGGCAAGAGTCATTTGCAGGAAGCTAGAAATTATGAGAAAAACAATAAGGTATATGGATATTCGAAGATTAGAATGGTGAGAGGACTTTCAATTTGAAGAATAACACACCAAACATGTATGAGTTTCAATGCTTTTTACCCTCAGATATGGATTTAATAGTGTTGGACATGATGTAGTACATCAAAGGCTAAAGGAAAGACAAAAGAAAGCAGCACATCTACCTCAAGGTAAGGTTAATAACATTGTTGTTTTATATTTAAATCTATCAAATAAATGCAGTTTTACGTTTTTTTAAAAAGATTTGTGAAATGTAATATGCATGACCTTTGTTATTGTTATGCACTTTGTAAGATTGATATTGATATTACAAGATATTTTTCATTTATTTACCATACTGATCATGTCAGAAAAGGGTAACTTTCTGTTGCTAGATAAATGCACTTCATGTTGTTGATGTTTATTCATGCTTACATCTTATAATATCAGAAGAGTTGAGGAGCTCTGATTTTTTGCATATCAGAAAAAACAGAGGTTGTCCATGTTATAACTAATTTATTCCACTAGCACTTAAGGCTTGTTTTTGTATGACGCAGGTAACCACAAAGTTAATGAATTGCAAGTGAGGATGAAAAAAAAAGGTAGCTTTGTACAACAAAGGTCCTATAAGCGTTATTTAATTTGTTTTCAAAATTGTAGCAGTTTACAATGTTATATATGGACAAGCCTTAATCTTCATCTGATGCCAGTGGAGGTTTCCTTTTTTTTTCTTCTTTTCTTCAACATGGAAAATAAAGTCTGATTTTGAATTGATATGTACCATTTATTAACAGACATGGACCACCATCCTCTCTCTTCTGTGTGGAATTTATTTGGTAAAGTAATCTTTTATTCAATTTATGCTTGCTATGCTAGATCAAAGAGGTATCATCGGCGTCAACCTCGGCAAGAACAAGACCTCCCCAAGTGCGGTCCAGGACTATGTGGATGGTGTGAAGAAGCTAGGCTGCTTTGGGGACTACCTGGTCATCAATGTTTCTAGTCCAAACACACCAGGCCTGAGAGCCATGCAGGGAAGGCAACAGTTGGCAGAGCTTATTGAGCAGGTGTGTTGTCTTTCATCTTGTCTCAAAAAGGGTTTCTTAAATCATGTGGTTAACCTAAGAATCACGCCTTAACCCATTGCCTACAGAACCAGGGTGGTCATGTATGAAGCCTACGGAAGTGAGTAAATTCAGTAGTCAAAGGGTTAATAGATTGTGTGCTACTGAAAAAAATATCACAAATAAGATAATGTTGGTATTATCTCTTTGCTTTTTGTCCATTCCCCTTGAGTTTAGCAATTTAAGTGTCGGTTGCCTATCTTACAATCCAAATGATAAGTTTGATGAGAGCCTTATCAATATCTCTTTGTTCTACATTGTTATTGCATCAGCTAGATTACATGCCTCTATTTTAAGCCACCCCTGCACCATAACTAAATACAGTGTTTGCACACAGGACCTTTTTGTGTGTAATTGCTTTGTATTGATCATATCCCTACTCATATCCAAGATGCACCTACACTTTGAATCCATCTGTTAATTGGGCTTGATTTTGAGTAAGGTAAAAGTATAAGACTAGACTGATAAAATAAGAGATAGTGAGCTATCCAACAACTGATTTTTAAGGTAAATCAGTTTTAGTAACACCAGACAAAGAGATATGAAAAGCATTGTTGATGGTTTGGATCCAATATTGACAGGATATCATTACCCCCCCCCCAAAAAAAAGTATATTGTCCCCTATGCGGTCCTTTAACCCATCATATCCAAAATGTTATTACAACACACGACTGTGTCTGTGTGTCTGTGTCCCTGTCCACTACTTCAAAAAAGTTTCTTCATTATTGACAGAATTATGGAGTACCGGTACACCCTTTATAAAATAATGTGTGCTGAATTTATATCTTTTCTTGGTCGATGTCACAGGTAGTTGCCACGCGAGATCTCTTGCCTTGTACACCCAAACCTCCAGTTCTCGTCAAGATAGCTCCTGATTTAACCCAAGCTGATAAGGAGGATATAGCCGCAGTGGTCATGGGCAAAAAGGTAGGAGAATTGAAAATGGACTTCCAACAAAATATGTTCAACAAAATATGTTAGATGATTTGATAATAATCTTTGGTCAAAGCAATCTTTCATTTTGCACTTCAAAGTATTCAGAATATCATAATACTAGAACAACAAAAAAGAAAGAAGGGGGAAAATATGAAAACTGTTTTAATATGAGAAACTGCAGATTTTTCTGTGGATATGTCATTATGGGGCATGAGAAAAAATTGCAACCTTTGTATTGATGGAAAATTGAAATTACCAGCAATCAACCAAATTCTCTATTGCTAGACATCCCTATTGAAAATGAAAGAAACATCTTGATAAGTTTCAAGTTTGTGCACTTCACAATTCCAGTGTCATTGACCTTAAGTTGGCTCAAGATATATGTAGGTCATGTATCTACTGGAGTGACAGGTTGTATATTACACAGGACATGCTTCCTGTGAAATGTACACTGTAGGTATGAAACCTACCTATGCTGATATGAAATTTACTCTTGAAAACAGGTGTGTGACAAAGGAGAGCTTGTACATTACAGGGCATAAGAAATCTACAAGAAATACACTAGAACAATGAATTTTGTAAACAAGGAGGAATGTCATTAATGATCATGGAGCATGTTCTTGATGGACCACCTGAGATGCAAAAGTTCAAAAGGTCATTTGTCAAAATATCTGTCTCTATGGCCGAACTGCTGTGACATAGAATTATTGAGAGTACTATAAGTTATAATTTATACTGCATCAAAGCTTTATATATCATCACTATCTAGATTAGTATTAAATTTGCCTTTTCTCTTGTATGGAAGGTTGAATCGACAAGAGAAAAGTACAATTTCCTCTTTGAAAATCAAGTACAAATAAATCCATGCAAAAAAATTATCTTGAAATATCCCAATTCATTTGAAAATATTGATGAGATGCTGGACCTTCTGGTGTAATCGAATGACAGGGTAGTCCAGTATAACGTTTGGATGATAATGTGTATGCCCTATTTTCTTCAACATTTTAGTATAAAAATAACAAAATGTGTTTGATTTTTTTTCTTCTCAGGGTTCTGTAGAAGGCATCATCGTAACCAACACAACGATAACCCGTCCCGAGAGCTTGGAGGGGAAACATAAGGGAGAGACTGGTGGATTGAGTGGTGTTCCTTTAAAAGACATGTCCACGGCAACAGTCAGTGATATGTACAGATTAACAAATGGTGAGAAACCAGTACAGTCCAGGAGATTGAAGGTCTTTAATAAAGGTCTATGATGTGGCTGTAATTTTGAGTCTTGTGAGCCTTCAGAATATTTGTGCAAAGAGAACACCCTTTGTGCTTGTATCTTAAATGTCAAGGTTTTTAAAATTCTTTTTATTACTTTTCTTTGAATTTTAGGATAAAAAAAAAAAGAACACGACATGCTACAAAGCTAATTTTGTATAAATTGCTTCTGTAAAAAATGAAATAATCTGCGAAAGGGTAATTGGACGATGAGTTGATCACAAAATAAAGTGATAGGGGAGGTCACTGGCTTTTTGTTGTTGAACAGCTAGTATTAAAATGACAAAGGCTATGGTAATGTAAAATATATAGCATATCAGTATTATGATGCATGTGGAACAAAACACTTAAAAGACCATATTCAACAGGGTTTATTATATTTTCCTTTATACTACCAGGGGGGTGTTCATAAAGCTGTTCGTAAAGTTACACATGACTTTACGAACGACTTGTATATGAAGTGCCAGATAGGATGCCCAAAGTTTTTCCTGATGGATTAACAAAGTGTGACTATATTTCCGATTACCGTACCTCAATTAAATTATGGCAAAACAATATACTTTGCATTCAAAATGTTTGTTATAATAAGAATGTCAATCTACATCTGCACAGTTCAACTTTAGTTGATGCAGTAAATAATGATTGAACATCCCATTTGGCTTTTCATATTTACGGTACGTCATTCGTAAAGTCATGCGTAACTTTACGAACAGCTTTATGAAACAACCCCCAGTACTCACCTTTACTTGAAATCCAGATAAGTTTCTATACATGTCTTCTCCAATCATTCCAATCTTCAGGTAAAATGACTATCGTTGGAGTGGGTGGGGTCAGCTCAGGTCAAGATGCCTATGAGAAGATCAAAGCTGGAGCCTCATTGGTTCAACTCTACACCGCATTTGCATACGAAGGACCGCCTCTCCCGTCAAAGATTAAGAGAGAGTTGGAGGACTTGCTGAAGTAAGTTTTTCATAAATTGAAAACAAAACCTGTGATATTTGATAAAAACCTTATTGCTGCATGTAGTTTGACAATTTTATTGCATCAGGCTATTGAAAGGTATTTACTTTTGGAAGTTGGGAAGGATAAATTTAATAGTCATCCTTGAGTCATAGAATCATGTAACTATTGGTGATCTTCAAAATGAGATACACTTTTTTAGTTAATAAATCCTTTATCATTATGTTTTAATGAAGACAATTAATAAAACATGTCAATTGAGTATTGACAAAAATCCCCAACAATTACGTATCTATGTTGTGAAATAAATGTAAAAGTTAAATATGATGGAAATAATGTTGATGGCTTACGTTTTTATAATGATATATGTGATGTACCAGTTAAATTTGATCTAAAATTCTTACGGAAGCAAAGTTAACGCTTTCAATTTCTCATATATTTTGCCCTTTTTAGTTACTTTTGTTTGCTTGTACGTTTTTTATTTACAGGAAAGATGGTTTTAGTTCTGTATCAGAAGCAGTTGGAGCTGACCACAGATAACAAGACATCATGTGACCTTCACAGACAGTGATACATGTACATTCAGAGATATGAAATTTGAGGACTTGGACAACTTGATATACCTCCACTACCAGGGAAATTGGGTTCTCTTCCATTTTAATGATTATTCTATTTTTCTGGAGTGTCTTTAGAAACACAGGTACAGTTAAACCGATATGTACATACTTAAGGGAGACAAGAGAAATGGTCTTTGTAGGGAGGTGGTCTTTCGAGACAGGTTCCTTTAATAAATGTATCAATGAGAGACACTTTTTTAGAAGAGCACAGAATATGGTCCGTATGGACATGTGGTCATTCTATAAAGGTGGTTTCTACGGCAGACTTGACCAGTAATATGTGAAAGCAAACTGATTATATTTTATGGTCCTTTTAGAGGTTATATTGTCAAGTAGACAGAATTAAATCTAAAAATATGTAGTATCCAAGGTATACTTGGTAGCAGACTTGGCTTTAGTTATATTACAGGATTGGCTTCTGTCAATCAGTTTTGGGGGTTTGTAGGTTAGAGTTCAAAGGTCACAGAGTGATATTGATGTCTTTTTTTAAATTGAACAGTGTTCCTACAAATGCTTGAGAACTGTTGAAAGGATTACATGAAATGTACCACAAGTGTGAAATGATAAGAAATTATGTGAATCTATTTATGGATTATCAGTGACTATTGACAAATTGTGTAGTGACAATGTTTGGGGAAAAATACAAGAAAAAGGTTTATGAATTGTGCTGTGAATATTTTGTGTTTAATACATGACCAAGTCTCATAGAATTATGAAGGTAATTAGCATTAAATGTATAATTGTCTTTCATTTTTGTGTGTGATCCAAGCTATAGTTACAGCTATCAACAAAATACGATGTTAATGATGATAATTAACATTCATAAAGTGCTTCACAGAGATTGCACTGCGTCATCATATGCTTATCACGGGTGCATGTATACTGAAATGTACATTTATGACGTTATTGCTAAATGTATGGGACAAAGTACTAGGACTTGCCTTATTGAGTGTGATGTCAGTAATTTGGGGACCAACTCGAGCAAAGCTGAAGTTATTTTGGGATGCTTTTGAACAAAGAGATGGTCATAATATAAAGTGGATCATGTAGTGTTAAATGCTGTACATTTCTTTCTTTCATATTGAAAGATGGATTTTGAGGATTAGGTTTAAAATTTAAATTGTTTATCAAGAAGCACTGCCAAAGCATTTGAGGCTGTGATTTTCCCTTACTATAAATGTATTATGAAGTACATCTCTGCCTAGGTTATACAGACAGTACAGACTTGTTCACAAATTTGGCTTTCTTTTCTTCCAAGGGCCAAGTGATTCTGGTTGTATGGTAATATCTAAATCATCATTTTCATCAACGTCAACTAAATCTTGATCATCATCATCATCATACAGGTAATAGTAATTACCATCAAGCCATCATCATTATTATCATCATCCTCATGGTCATCACTTTCATCATCTTGACATCATCATGCTAGAACATACAATTTTGAATTTATATTTGTAATTAAAGGGAGTCCAATCGGAATACCAAGTTCCCTTTCTAGGAAACACAATGTGTTAAATTCTATGTGAATGTGTGATTTTATTTTTTACCTTCGCGGTAAAAAAGGTAACAAATAAAACAATCATGAAATGAATCATACAAATTTTGTCAGTATCTTTCATTGTCTTATCTTTTCTGAGAATCATATTTAGATGGTAAATTATGTTAGCTCCATCATTATTGGTCCATTGGTTTAAGATAAATTAATTTACTAAAACAAACATACAAAGCAAACAAATTCATGTAGTATAGTGTTGGAAAAGAATTTTAATGTTTTGCTTTGCAAAATGACCATATTTCTACAGAATACACACAAAAAAAAGAAAAAAGAGCCTTGCTACAGTATATTACATGGCATGCAACATCTGTACATCATAATCATAATATTACAATCTTGGTATTGATGTTTATATAGTAATTGTCTTTAGTTACTCTCATTGTGTTTCATCTGACTTCATGTTGAAAAGCCTAAAATTGTTAGGTATATGTCAAGATAGAAGAAAAGACCTAGTGATTATTTCAACTGGTTTTTGAAAGTGTCAAAACTTTTAAACAAGCCATAGAAGCAAGGACATGAGCTCTTTTGTGTGTTCAACCCTGTACATACATGTACAACTTTGACAGTATTATTCAAATTTAATGACATTTGGTATATTATTACAGAGGCTCTCCATGGTTCGTATTCTGAAAACAATGCTGTCTTTTATGTTACTGAATAGTATGTTAGTTGTCATAACAAATTGAGTAGAGTAGACGCTTATCACGTAGATGTCTGTATGCGCACACAGTCAGCTTTCTCCAAAATTAACCAATGACATGTCCTAATTAGATTTGATATGGCAATTAAAACATACTTTTATCAACATAAAATATAACATAGTTTTCAAAATACCACCCCATACCTTTTACACAATCATGAAACATATGATTCCAATCCACAAATGGGACACCTGTACAACAAATTGATTGAGGATTAACATTCCATTTCATGAATGAGTCGCTTGATGATACCCCTCGGTTCGGGTAGTTTTAAACTGATCAAGCCAGTTATTCAACAGACCACAAGTATAATTCACAATAGGCTCACAAGCGAATGAAATCAAGTTACCGTATCCACATAGACAGATGGGTGAATTGGGCCCATGTGTAACCCATTATGATCTAGCATAACATACACATACAGAGTGCTATTATTCTTTATATCAACAACATGTTGCCATGTGTCTTTTGAAAAGTTATTAAATGGGGCTGTTTTAATTTTCCACCACTTAGTTTATGCATCTTTCAACTGCAATTTAGATGCTGTGACACATTAACAAATAAGATAAGATGTATTCTTCATGGGGTTAATTTTCGTGAGTTTCTTGAAAATTTCATTCCATGGCTCAACATCACATTGTTGAATAGCCTATAAGAGGCGATTGTACAAACTACATGTATTACAAACAAATATTGATTGTACATACTAACATGACATGAAGACATTAAAAAAAATGAAATGTTCATATTGGGACAGGTATGTGATCTATGATCAGAAACGTTATCTCTTTTTAAAATTCTCTTCATAGGAAGGATTATGTACTAGGAAAATCTATACACGGTACAATATGGTAGGACCCTAACCATTCCAAACACAAAATTTCTGTTTTGTGCTTATACCAGGTTTCTTTTAACACTTTGGTCCAATTTCATCAATACAGAAATTGCAGACCAACTGTGGAGGGGCCTCTCAATTGAACATACAAAAACAATATACAAGACATGCTCCGACTAATCATTATGAAGTTGCGGCTCCTTTCTTCTGCTTTTTCTTTTCGGCTTCCTCCTCCTTCTCCTTCTCGATCTCTGTGACGTACTTCTCCACCTCTGATACTTCGTACATCTGATGAAGACAAAGCACAAGAAAAATATTGTCATGATATAATTGTATATCATATGGGCACAAAATACTGAACAGCCAACAGCAATCACCTAAACCCTGCTAAAGAGCAAAATGTGGAGATTGGATGAGCCTTTATCATATTCATGGCTAGCACCCTTTTGCTTTATCCTTTTAGTGAACCTACAACAGAAGAATTGAGCCATTATCGTTTAAAGGTAGAAACCAGTTATGAAAACGCCCCCATTTAAAAAAATGAAATGGAAGCTCTTATTACCAATCATGTGAAAGAACTTTTTGACTAATACGTGATCATACAAATTTTCCTGGGAAACCGCCTACTAATTGATATATTTGGTAAATTATCATATCGATCCGGCCTGGATAGATATCGTGTAGTCCCAAATACATCTTTCTGAGTACAGTGTTTGTTACTTTTCCAAGACTGGGCCAAATTTCTTATCACTTTGATGATTCCAGAACCTTGCAGTACACACCCAATACTTATATGCTAGATGATCAACCTTTTCTGATCGATTCCACAACTTTTCTTTCACAATGCAATCGCATGACCAGAACTGGTCTATACCTTTAAGACACATCTACTCAAAATTGCTTTTGATGATTACTATTAGTGGGAATGTCGTGGTCGAGTGGTTTAAGGCGGTTGACTGGAGATGCGAAGGTCAAGGGTTCGAATTCCGACACGGCACTAATATCCTTTGGCAAGATATGAACCTGCACTTGCTACTCTCCATCCAGGTGTTAAAATGGGTACCCGGGAGGATGCGACCGTCATTGTTGGTCAAACAGTTTTGAGCGTCAAGTTACACCTGGCTCAAATGCTCCCCAGGGAGTGGAGATTGTGCACACAGTGTGTGCGGGCAAGCACTGAATCCAATGACCGGGGGTAATAGTATATTTGTAAAGCGCTTAGAGACATTGTATTAAGCGCTATATAAAAGCTACATATTATTATTATTTACTGGGTAAACACCCAAATAGTGTCAAATTCCTCATGAGAGCCCACATCTATGTGTTTTGTTAAGTATCTCACCTTGAGTGGCTCTCCTCTCCTCATCACAGCCAGTTCAATATTCTTGGCGCCTGACTGGACAACCTCAAGCAGGGCTCGCACGGCTAGCTTGACCGTCTCGCTTTCACTCTCCACAACTTCATCAGAGTAATGCTTCTCCAAAAACTCCCTCACTGTCTTGGCACTGCGTCCGATGGCATTGGCCTGTAAAATTGATAAGACAACAAAAAGAATATACTTATTTAGAAGCACCAAAAAAAAGGAATGACCCTTACAAAATCACGGGATTTGAAGAGAAAACAAAAAAATACAGACTCATAAAATAGGTACACCAAAATACATTACTCCTCATGGTAGAAGTGGGTTTAAGGCATCTTTTGAAAGTGGCATGAAAGGTATTTCTGTGCAGGGGTGATAGTGAGCACTAAAAAAAAAATAGGTTTTTCGTTTTCCCCTCAACCACGCCCCCCTTGAGCAAAAAAAAAAGAAGAGGATTCGCGGGGAAAAAATGGCATGTATCAACATTCCCGCCTTTCAAGTAAAACAAATTTGGACAAAAATAGGGCAAAATAGGGAAGAGTAGAAAAAATAAGAGGGAAATCGGGAAAATCAGGATAAAATATAATATGGAAGAAGAAAAAAAATTGGTAAAAAAAAAAAAAAAAAAAAAAAAAAAAAAAATCTGGATTTTTTTTTTTTTTTTTTTTTAATAAATCGGGAAGAAAAAAAAAATCGGGAAAAAATCGGGAAAAATAAAAAAAATCGGGAAACCGATTTAAATCGGGTTTTTATCAGGCCTGTCTGTGATGGAAAGAGGGATGTTGTTGTGTTCCCTGTTTACAACATTTACAGTTGCCAGTTAGTCCCTAAATATTCAGCTTGATATTCTCCCTTTTCTTTCACCAAAGTACCAAAATACAATAAAATCCACAAGAACTAAATTAAATGAGATGAAAGTAGCATGCTTGAAATTTGTTACAAACACATCCTTTATCTTTGATAAAATAAAGCCCAAAGCAAATGTTGCTGGAACAAATGTTGGATCACTTGAGTTATTTACTCCCCCAAAATATATCGTCTTTGCCTTCGTTAAAGATTTTTTAGCAGTTTTTAATACTGCATCATGTGAAAACATGCTTTAGTCTAAGGAAATACAATTTTGACTATGCTCCCTTTAACCCCCTCAAGAAATTTTAGGAGGCATGACAAACTAATTGACGATTCGAATCATTCGATACAGTACTAGATGTTATTGCTGCTATATCCTCTCAGCTAAAAGTATACTCTTTCTGTTACATTTCAAGCATTTGACTTAAACATGAACATAGTGAAATACTGCAATGTCCTCTATACTACATGTGAGTAAAGTCACTGTCACATACCACACATTTGGATCGGACATGAATGAAAATGAATGGTTCAATTTGTTAGTAAGGTGAGAGTGCAGAGAGACCCTCAAAGAGTCGTTGATGGTCGTTTCTTACCTTCCATGAATGGTATGTCCCAGCGGGGTCGGTCTGGTACAGTCTAGGGGAACCATCGTAGTCAAAACCTACAATCAGAGTTGACAGTCCAAAGGGCCTTCGACCGTTGCTTTGTGTGTAGCGCTGATAAAAAGAAATTAAAATGATAGGATAGTTCGTAATTAGCAAAGTTTTCTAATGAAGCAGAAACTAGATGTTAATTCTAAAGTTTGATTGTATTTCTCATAAATTCATACATCTGTAGATTGTACACATTTATATGTTATCAGTACGACTGTAAGGAACATCAGCATATCTTTCCATACAACCTTCGTAATTTGTGTATTATATTGCATGCAAGCTTTATCTAAAGGAATGTCTACATCATATGAATATATCATTATCAGCTCATGGACCAGAATTCATTTCATACAGACTCACTTGTCACAATACCATTTCCTACGTTTTTCTTTTCTTGTAGAAATTCTCTCAGATAATTAATACTAATTATTGCAATATCCCTTACAAATTACTTCATGATCGAGAGAAAATTGTAAGGAATTTCTATGTCTTCTCAAAATCACTTTCATGTTTTTCCCCTCAGTAAATACATTTGAATAAGTCTCTTGAAAATTACCTAAATTAAATTCATCAGCCATAAAGTATGAAAAAGTATTATGGCAACATGCTCCATGAAGACCTTTAAAGCTTATTTGTACTAGTTTATAGGAGGGAATAGACCGCCCTGCAAGGTTACTAGACAGGTGGTTATCTCATCAAATCAGCTCTCAATTAACATAAGAAAAAGGGGACCATGGGGGATCAATGGGTACCGCTTAAGCATTGTTGGCTGTATAGAGGGCGCAAGTAGCTACAAGTAGTGCAGTCCCGCTTTAATACATACCTGTTTGAGCTGGGCCATGAAGCGAGTGATATACTCCACTGTGACAGGGTCTTCCACAGTGAGCCTGTGACTCTGGCATTCTATACGAGCCCTGTTGATGAGGATGCGTGCATCTGCTGTCAGGCCTGTAAGGGAACAAAGATAGAAATATGCCAGATGAAACAAAGTTGAGATTCAGTTTTGTTTTATACAGAATACGTCCTCTCTTTCTTTTTTAGGAAAAGTTCTTGAGCTTTTGCTTTGGATTACATTTCGTCTAGGCATCAGGCAAGAAACTTTGTTTCTAGAATACTAAAATAGCATCCAGCACCTTATCTGTGCTGCAACCATGTCATACTGATTGCTCCATTTTCTTCATAGGGTCCAAAAATGAAACAAAATGTGATTTGCTGAATAAATCTCAAAGGAATTAACTTCTACTTTATGAATGCTTATGTCAGACAAGAGAATTTGGGCCAATCATGATGCATGAAGTCATCAAATCAATCTAATTCACAGTTCATGTTTCAAACAATATTTTGCCTTTTCACTCATCAGCAAAATTTTGCCCAAGCAAAGTAGCTCAGGCAACAGTAATAAACTGGATATTTCTAGTAATAAAATTTACACAATAAACAGTTTCATATTGAAGCATGAGTAGAAATTGCATGGAAAGAAAGTACATTCTTTCTTTCTACATTGCACGGTAAAAATGAAATCTTTCCATTTCCAGTAAACACCATTTGTGAAGTTTTTGAAGTTGGATATCATAGCGTGTTGTTTTCGATTAAACAAAGAAAAAGCACTGCGAATAGTAAAACCTCTCCAATAAACTTTTGTGTACATGGTTAAACATAGTGGCACTGGTAATGATTTTAAAGAAATCATCAAAAACGAGGGGGTCTTCACCATTTCTTGAATAATATGATAGCTAAGGATCAATGTAAATGCTTGTTTGCCATTTAGCCTACATGTATGCGGGTGGTGGGCCCTGCTTAAGGTATACCGACTTACCAGCGAATGCCATACAGACGTGGTCATCAAGAACACATATCTTTCTGACTGTCCTCTCCTCCTGCAGCTTGGCAACCGACTTCTTCTCCACACCCAGGACTACCAGATCCTTTCCACGCACACCAACCTGAATTGGACAAGAAGAGCAATGTTAATAAAAATAATATGTTCATTTGTAAAGTGTAACTACCACAAATATCATATTATTACCCCGGCTGTGGCTGAGCCGCCATGATTGGACGCCAAAGCGTTCCAAGGATGTTTTCCTACCGGGGACCCCTTTACTTTGGGGTTGAAGAGTGGCTAATGTAGACTTCTGTCTTGCCAACTCACACATGTCGGATATCTATTGTCAATCCTGGCGAAGACACGTTTTGTATCTTTGTGGCCAAGAGCGCTGAATCCATACCTTAAAAGGTCACACATGTATACATAAAAACCTGTAAATTGTCAGGGGCGCAACTTTAGGGAGACCTTAGGGTGCGACATTGTGACTGTCGATTTGTTGAGGTCGATTCATTTAGCGACTGTAAACTAAGATTAGAGTTGCTAACTGAACACACGTGCATGCCTGCACCCCACTGTCGGTACAGTATGCCATTGTAATGTGCTGCAGTTTGCCGTGAATCCTGTGAGAAGGTGCATATTAGGTGCAAGTCTTCATTTTTAGGAAAAATACCTCGAAAAAGATGAGAAAATTGACAGGAAACAGGTAACAAACATATCGACTTAAATCATGACCTTTATTTGGACATTTGATGAATATTTACTTCCTTTTGGGTATGTTTTAGTAGGGTTTCTCCATGCTGGAGTTACGGGCCAAAATTTTGGCTAGACTTCTGCACTAGCGCCAATTTTTCTCATAGACTAATTGTACGAAAAAACTTTTTTTCAAAACAAAATGAAAAAGAAAATTGAAACCAATTCACTAACACTATTCAGCATGTTCAGTCCTCATCTAGTCTATTCTAGTTCTACTTAGATCTACATTCTCCAGCTCTGTTGAGTTTATAAATGTCAAGCTAAGAAGCAGTAGATATAGCGTAGTCTGTACTCTTATCACAAAAACAGCATTCACCGGCAACCAGCGATAAATTTTATTTGGCACAAAACAATGCAATCATTTATGTCACTCTGTAACACTCCTTCATTTTCAACGTGTGGGACAAGACAATGATCAGTTTTTTTGAGCGCAGAGCAATTTGACCATGAGAAGTAAATACATAATAACTTACCGCAGTTGATCCTTTTTTCACAGCTTCTTGGGCATATTCTACCTGAAATAAGTGGCCATCTGGTGAAAAAACAGTGATTGCTCTGTCGTACCTAGAAGACATGTTGTAGAATGGTAAAGTTCTAGTTTAAAATCGGACGATACACACGCGCTGACTTGCAGTTAGTGCAATGTGGGTGTCTGTGAAGGACAAACAATAACCGAAATAATGTGATGTGAGTACCGGTGTAGGTACCGGTAAGTTCGACCCCGAAAATCTAGCATCTGTCGAAAGATTCACTTCTAAACATCAAAAGAATTCTGCTATTTTTCGGGCCAACAGGCGCCTTCAGAGTTCAGGCTTAATGTCTGAATTATGGGATAGTAGGTCACACAATTAGAAAACTATTTATTAAAGGCAATTAAATAATTAGATTCTAGATTGATACAGTTTCATCACTTTCATGCAAGCCCGTCCCCCCGTCCCCCCGCCCCCCGTCCCCCCGTCCCCCCCCCCCAATCAGTGTTATTTAGGGTATACGCATATGCGTATTCCCTCCTTTTGAAAAAAAACCTAAGTCCGGTGTGTAAAATCAATGTGTATGTACGAGCCGGACTTTGGTGCGTGAAAACTTACCCGGACATTTTGGTAACACGCATGCTGTCATTCCGACCCCCCCCCCCCTGAAAGTAGGGGCATGCAAGTAGTCCATCCTTCCCTCCATCCTTCCCTGGTACATCGTAGACTGCATCCATGTATTATGGTACAGTACTTTTCAGTCGCACAAGGGCCTTACCCCCCCCCCCCCCCCCCACACACACACACACACTCCGTGCGTGTTCCCAAACTCTCCGGCTCGTAAAAAAAGAAAAAGGTCTACCCATATTGACTTTACATACCAGACTTTTGCTGAAGGGGGGGGGGGGGGTACTGAAAAAGGCTCGTATAACAAAAGAAAAAGGTCGACCCGTACACACCGGACTTTTGTTGTAAGGGGGGGGGGGTAGCTGGGAACACGCATATGCGTACCCTAAATAACACTGAGTGGGGGGGGGGGGCGGGGGGCCTTACTGAAAGTAGGCACTCTATAAATGCTTAGATTGGATCAGATCTAGTCCTTTTGCTATAGACATCACTATGATCACTGATAAATTTACATTCCCACTCTTTATGGCAACTTTTTTTTTCCAACCAGGGTGCCACACGGTCCGCCCCCCCCCCCCCCACTCAGTGTTTTTTTTAGGGTGGGTATGTTTGTTCCCCGGCTAGTTCCTTCCCTTTGAATGCACCCCCTATCTCAGGACTGCCAACATTTCTGAACCTCCCATTCGCGGGCTTTTCCTGCCTTGGAGTCCAGAGAGAAAAAACACACCCTTTTTAAAGAAATGAAGTCCCTCCGACCCCGTATTGAAGGGGGGGGGGGGCGAGGCCGCAATACATCTCCCTAGGGGTGCCGTGAGAGAAATTTAGTTATAATAAAAACATAGGCCTATTTTGGATTTGGAATAAGGTCAATTTCGTGAAAACAACATAACTTATTATCAGAAACCGCTTTGTATTTTCATGAGAAAATACCATTTGAAAGAAAATATAGTGTCGTACCCCTTCAAATTTTCGAGATTCGTGATTACGCCGCTGCTTTTGTACCATCTAATATTCACATATTGTGCTACACTTCAATTTAAGATGACTATGGGCCTCTATCCGTTCTGTAGGATACCCCTCCTTCAACGGAGGGCCCGTTTCCCGGTGCAGTGGCAACTTAAGATCCGATGGAATTTAGGGAAGGGGTCATTGGATCAAGCACCCCATTCCAATATCTTGGGGGGGGGTAGAGAGATGTAAAGAGAGAAAGAGAGAGAGAGAGAGAGAGAGAGAGAGAGAGAGAGAGAGAGAGAGAGAAGAGAGAGGTGTATAGGGGTACATTATTTATTCCGCCTTAACAAACCCTGCCCCCTTCTGCCCAAAAGAACAAACGTGCTGTCTAAACGCACTTGGTTAGAAGAGTTAAAATATTCATTTTATAATGCGCCCAATTCACGTAATATACAATACCGACAATACAGGGGGATTTACCTCATATGACTTCAGCAGATTTTTGTTCAAACAGTGTCAAATAATAAAAACCGTTAACTCTGACTAACATTAATTCTTCGCATGATAAACATAATTCACTCGAAGAAAACGAATCTCTTATGTGATGTCAGTTTTCCCACTTATCAATTCCCCTTTCTTTCTGTGTCTGTCTCCTTATCTGCCTGTTTGTCGGTTTGACTCCCATCCTCCCTATCTCTCTCTCTCTCTCTCTCTCTCTCTCTCTCTCTCTCTCACACACACACACACACACACACACACACACACACACACACACACACACACACACACTTTCCCACCCTCTCTGTCCCTCTCCCACTGTCATGCTTTGTTTCAATCATTTACCCTCCCTCATTCCCATGATTCCCATCTTGATTTATGGCTAATTTGGGCTTTCTTAAAACAGGGATAGGTTCAGGCCTTCCACGACTACCCCCCCCCCCCCTCCTCCCCCCTCAACGCCTCCTCTTAAAAACTATTTTTTTTTTTTTGTTCTTGAAAACTTAAATAATGAAAAAGGATGCAGGCGTGGAATGACACTGGGCACTGCACTTCTATTTACTCGATCGACGGACATGATAATATTAATAGGCGAATCTTTTGTCATCATTTTCAGAAGGGAGCTTGGCGCTATCACAGGAAGAGAAAAACAAAATAATGCTTTTTAACGTATTGTTGAATGAAAAAAACAAAAGCGTTTAGTTTAAAAGTTTATATACAAGAGTTAAAACAGAGAAAGAAGATGAATTATTAAAAACTTCAAAAGAATTCTCCAGTGTTGAACTCATTACAAAATATTGACTTTTGGACGGGCAGAAATTTTTCTGAGCCAGTCACCTCAAAGTAGGATTAAGATGAAAGTTTTTATTTTGTCGCCATCGGTTTAAGATTTTTGAGCCAGTAATTAATGTCTCCTTAAAAGTTAATTTGGTACTCAATACAGCTCTCATATTATTTGCTTTGCCTAATTTGAACCGTCAATATAACTATCTCAAGGATTATCTACTGAAAAAATAGGTACATTAAATGTAACATTGATTTTATATGATCATTACAAAAACACATAACGACATCTCTGGTACGTCCTCCATGAAACATATAAAGAATGAATCTTTTAAAAATTGGGTTTCAACCAAAATGGATTCTCTAATTCAAAAAAAAAAGAGAAAAAAAAAAACCCTAACAAAATAAAACAAAACAAAAGTTATGTGTTACAGATTGGCATGGCAAACCTTAACATTCAATTTTGTCCGACATCTATATCAATATATCGAAATTGAGGGGGTGGACAATAACTATATCCTCACACTTTGGCCAAGAATAAAGCTCATGAGCTCGCCTCAACGTGTTCAGCCGGTGCACTGTAGTGTAGATATTGAATGGCGCCATCTATAGTTTTGTACACAATTCGCATCCAAAATATACATTCATCGTAATTTTTTATGACTGAAATTAAAAAGGAAGATGGAAAATTTACACTGTGAAATCTTTTCATAATTAGAGTTCGCTTTTTTATACGGTTTAAGAAGAACATGATTATTATGTCCATCCCACGCACCAACACCAAGGCAGCCGAACGCTCATTCTCTTATGCTGGACCATCCACCTGGAACACTCTACCACAACACCTCCGCCTATGTAGTACAGAAGACACTTTCAAAAAAACCCAACTCTTTCCATCTTGAATCCATAATGTACATTTTGAGTAGCTAAATTTTCTTTTCGTTCATAATATCTTAATTACGGTTCCTTGTTTAATTGTTATGATTTGTATGTTTCTTTTCTGTTGTATAGCGCTCTGATCAGTTTGACTGCAGCGCTCAATAAGAATCAATTATTATTATTATTATTTACATTATTTTCTTTTCTTCAGTAACTGTTGAACAAAGTTATTTGATGTATTTCCCTTCAAGTTATATAATGCACTATATCCAATTTTTGGCGGTGCAAAATTAACAGATCTTAAAGAATTATAAGCGAACTTTAGGCCAAAGCAATCAAGCGGAGAGAAAATGTATGAATTGTATTTGCTCCTAATATAAGATTCCCTCTGCAGTTTACCCTGGATTGGGAGAGCATAATCCTTTAGGAACAATAAGTTCTCTTCATTTTCTTCCTTTATTTTTTAATTTCTGCGGGTTTTTTGTGCCCCCTCAGCACCCCGGCCCTGAGATGCTCCACTGCTTCCAGAACCACGCCTGGCTGTGAGCTTCTACTGCATGGCTAGCAACAAATCAAAAACAAACACGAATATGCCAACAACTTTTTGTTTTTATTTTTTAAAATTTATATACGACCCATTGCCCGAAGTTTACCAACAAGAAACAGAGGGAACAGTGTACAACAGTACACATGTGCTAACAAAATCTCAAGTTAAATAGGAACCTCGATTGTTTGAGCAAAAACCGATCAAAATAAGTTATGAATTGGTAATGTTGGGAAGGAGAATGCCTTTTTTTGTGATTCATGGAAGAGAAGAAGAAAAAAACACCAGAAATTCATACGACTTTCAGTACCAATTGCAATTTGTGAACATGAAAAACAAAATTGTTTTCTTCTTCTAAGTGGAAAACAAGTTTTAGTTACAGTATCAGTTTATTCTTTCCATATTTCACACGATACAAACATTACTATATAAAACAATACTTTGTAAATTATAATTCATGCCATAGGAATTTTAGTACCAATTGCAATTGTGTTAACATGAAAAACAAACTGTTTCTTTCTCCAAAGTGGGAAACAAGTTTCAGTTTCAGTATCAGTTTATATTTTTTTCCTTCATATTCCACATTATACAAATATTACAATATATATAACAATACTTTGTCAATTATAATCACAAGAAGGAAAATTAGATACATGTTACAAATTTAGTTGTTGAAGAAGATGAATATATTTATTTGAAAGTGAAATATGATGAAACCTATATGAGCAAAGCTCGTAAAAAAATCATAGGTTCCGTACAAAATATGAAGAAGAAGAAGATCGTCGATAATTTGACATGGCGCGATGAGAAAGATATATATATTTTTTTTAATGCAATATATACCCTGTTGGTCATAAAGGTGGAATAATTTTATTTTAGCCCAGTCTCATGATTTTGACAATGATTTATTCTTATAGATCTAAATAATAGTATACATTTCCTAGATGTTATTGAATAATAGTTGGCAGTGTTTGTTTTACGTGACTGCTAGAGCATGTGTATGCTACTATGCTTATCAACTAGGGAACCTACGGCCCTTAAGCCATACTGACAGTAATAAGGATTAATACCTCACAAAATGGCACTACAAGACACATCGATCCTGGGGCCTCACAGTACTGTTTACTGGAGGCCATTACTTGACCACTGAATCATGACTGTACGCAGCGGGGGCTAGCGTAGGGGGCAACCCCCACAAATAAACAAAAAACAAAAAGAAAAGTGCAATTAATTATTAGTAATTCTTTGCATTTTGCCCCGATCCCCTACATAAAAAATATCTTCTGTGTGGCCATGCCTTGAACCATAATGCATGGCCGTACAGAGGAATTTTCTTCAAATTATCCTTTAATATCTTGAAACTAATAATGGCATAAACTATAAACATAAGGAATCACTATCAAGATGTTGATTACAGAGACACAACAACAAACAAATCATGCCCTTCCCCTGTCTTATACCTCATAATTACCCTCTTTTTAAGAATACATTAGATTATGTCATAACTCGTAATACAAGTAAAGAGCATTTTCTACTTCCTTTATCACCTTTTCGATGGTTTTCTAACAGAGACACCGAAATTGACGATGCAGCTCAATTATTTTGATCTATCATCTACATGTACCGTGTAGTAGGATTCTAGATGATATACATTCTGATTTGTTTTTCTTTGAGTCTTCATTGTTCAAAACGATTTAAAAAACGCAATTACAGAGTAAATGCATGACAACAACAACAACAACAACTATTCATAGAATTACACAAAGCATTGCATGTATAATTTGAATGAGATAATAAAGGGAAGTGTAAACTAAACACAAAGATCGATGGGCTCCACTGGCACTTTTTGAAATGTAAAGGGACTTTTTTTTCTTCTTCGATAGAAAAAATTCTAAAATCTTGTTGGATTTCAGTTGAGCCCTTAAAATCATCAATATACGGAATTAAAATCGGAATTTACAAACATAAACAAAGTATCAAAAAACAGAAACACAGCACCGGTATTTAGATGTCTATGTGCTTGTAATATCCGCGAGCGCGCAGTACATGTGCATTATCCGCGGGCGCACTATCCGGCCGTACGTACGTGCGCTCGTTCCCTACATGGCACTCGCGTTTTCAACGTTGATGGTGTTGCGGACTTCTCCCAAGTTACCACGTCAATGTCGGATTTTCGAAGAAACTTATGTGAATTTTGGGCGATGAATATCACAAACACTTCATGATTGTGAAAACTCAGTCGGCAGCTCGTTTTGCAAAACAGTGGAGTATCGTTTGAACTTGTAATCTCTCTCGAGGAACGGGTAGCGGACTTCGTTCCAGCTGCAGCCGACGCCGCGGCCGGTGCGGTAGCGCGAAGGGACACAGAGAGCCCAGCGGTCTAGTCTCAGGAGTAGCGAGTAAATTGGAACAACACAAACAAAAGATCTGGGACTTCCTCTCCCCAACCTCGCCTCGTGGAGTTTTGGTGTGGATATTTAAGTTATTTCTATAAAACAAACAGGAAAATATTGTGACAATGGAAGGGAGTGAAAGGGATTGCAGTGTTCTTGGAGGCTTATTCCAGAGTGTGATTAATGATATGAAGGTGAGTAGATCTAGAGAGAATTGAGTTAGTCTAGACTGACACTTTCGACATTAAAAGAATTATAAAATATAAATGAACATGATGAAGAATATAATGGCAAGTGTTTAAAATATAAGTCTCTGATTGAAAGACTATAGTTGACCTGTAATTTTTTATGAAACAAGACTATCCTGTGCAGTATGCTCTAAAAATAAATTCCTCATGATCATGTTAATCAATTTGGCTCAATTTTGAGGTCAGAAAAAAAAAAATCAGTTCAATCTTAAAACTTTAAAAGTTGAAGTTGAGAATCAGTGAGATTCCAAAATGACAGTCTCTTAGAATATTCAGTTTTAATCATACAACTTTTATTATGACATGGATTTCAATGGCAAAAGAAAGCAATTTTATTCATAAATTGATCAAATGTTCCCATCAAGTCTAATCTGCCTGTGCTGCGTCTGTAACTCCTTTTGGAGGATATTGCTGCAGCTACAGTACAAACGTTCTACTCCTAGTACTACACTCTGCAGACTTCGGTGTATCTCTCCCACCTAAAGAGATCAACAAAACAAGGAGGGGGCGGGGAGCATCTATAACAATGAAGTTTTAGCAGCCTTCATTGCAAGTTCTGGCCGCACCTCAAGAAATGCAGCCATGTTCACTTTGAATTACATTGTGAATTGTGATATGATTTATATTTCATTGTCTCTCTGGAAAGAATGCCTTTTTAGAAGGTGATTGAGGGATTAATCAAATACAAGTATAACAAAATGTTTGAATTGTGTTGATGTGAAGTCACTGTCTCATTACATTCATGTGGTCTAGACTAAGGTAAGGCTTTCAGGCAGTTTTCTTTTCATTTCCTGAATCGTCATTTATTACTACCATCACATTACACTCGTCTTCTATTCATTGGACTAGCGAATCAATTTAGAAAACAGCTGGGTGGGTGCAGTGAGGACATCTTTTGAATACACGTGCACCAACAAAGGAATTAATACTCAGGTGAACAATTCATGTAGGCTGTGAAAACCCACACAGGTACTTTGTCTTTCCAGTTGAGTGGGTTTTAAAAAGTAGAGGAAAACAGCTAGCTCAGGATATCATTGTCTGCCCTTTATTATCCAGCCTGTGTTAAGTAGCTTTTACTTTAGTATGGTTTACCTTCAGGATTCCAAGGAGGGTTAACGATTAAGTTTTTTTTAGAAAGACAGTGAACCTATGTCCTGTTAATATTTATGGGGTTCAAGATACTTTACTTGCTTGTAAGTAGAAAACAAAATGTCAAATGTAAAAAAAAAAATTGATTCCTCCTTTCTGTCGTAGAAATTGAACACATGTACATGTACACAGTACCTGTACATTTTTTAAAAAGACAATAAACATTCATTTGAATGTGTTGGTCTTATCATGGCATATTTTATGCATTGGACGCCTGATGTGGGCTTATATTGGATTTACAGTGTTAGTGCTTGTTTAATTTGTTTATCCACTTGAGTAAGCATGTGCTCGTTCAAATAAAATAAAGCAGACAGTATACATGTACATGTGTTAGTCATATTTTCTGTTATTTAACTTTAGGTGACCTTTGGACTCTGCGTCCACAACTGAACAACAGAACAACAGAAAGATAATCATTGACTGGATGTACTGAATGCGTGTCAGTTTTGAATTTGAATAACCACAAAAATAGAGTGGTTTTAAAGTTGTACACCTGTACATACAATGTGTGTAATGCAGTAAGAATGCTCTGAATGTAATAATGTAATGATTTCAAATGAATTTTGATTAGTGGAGTTGTGAAGATAACTGTATAAATTGGCAATGAAGATAATTATCAGAATCATTTGTACACTACACAGTCACATCATAAAAGATGTGTCTTCTTGATTGTTGATGATAATATATTCCTTCAGAAGGATTTAACAACATGCTTTCAGTGAATTATATGTTGTACATTTATGGCATTGGTAGAAATGTTAATTAATTGGGAGAGTACAGTATAGTCGCGGGGTAGCAAATGACATAAAATTGTGTTTTGATTTTGAGTGCAAAAATTCTACCTTTATTCAAATCAGTGTGAAGTCGGGATAGACATTACCTTAAACAAATCTTGAATGCTGATTTCCATAAGGACTTTAATCCATATCCTTTCCCACATACTGTACATGTCGAGGCAATGCCCTTCTAGTTCTCAATAAACAAAGTGAACAGTTTCACACCTTTGTTTCAAGAGCATAATGAAGACACATGTGATGTGAAGCAAAAAAAAAAAAAGCTGGCCATATTTCTCTTCATTGGAATTGATTTCAACCCAGGGAATAATTGTTAATGGACTCATGAGCAATATGCACCTTTCTATTAAAAGCTGAGTTCACAGGGAGGTCACACAGCGTGGGCTTAAATTGCCAATTGAAGCATACAGCTCTGACCATCCAATATGACTTTGAGCAGATACACTGAATACGTCGTTGTTGTTGTGGAGCCTACCTTTTTTACTTTCTTTTTCCCTAATTTGTCCACAAGACTGAAGTTGCAATAAAGGCGTATGGCAGTAATATTGATAGATTTAATAGTGAAATTATTTATGATCTCAGTGAATTACTAAATTTAAATTGGAACTGTGTTGCAAATGTTCACATTGTACACCGTGTACAGTATTATACAGTGTACATATATAGTACAATATTTGATTGAAATGAAATTGATTTGATTGAAAATTGAAATAGTGTTCTACCTACATTGTATGTGTACATTATCTAGTATGCCTAAATATGCAAACTGTGCTAGAATAAGTCTTCTTGTCAACATAGTCTGTATTTTTCTGCATTGTTGATTAGATTATGCTAATTGACTTTGATTTCCAAAAATTGTCAATCGTATTAAATAAGACTTAGAGTGAATGTTTCCAGGCAAATCTACATGTATTCATTCGCAATTTCATTAAGCATCAATCTCTTAATGTGCAAAGTGGATGTCCGCTCCTTAATTTATGGGTTGTGTGTAATTTGGTCTATGGATGCCAAAGCACAGACAAAATGTCAAGGAGATTAGTGATTCTTTTTTATGGCACACCGAGATATATGCACGTCATCATGAATGCAGTGCTGTGGGAAGCCTTTATTGATTTCTAGTACCGTCTGTGGACAATGAAATATTCATATTTCAAACATCCGCCTGGTACTAATGTACCACACTGCATGTGTACATACTAGTTACGTATGTGCTTACTATATTGGTGTGTGCATGCTTGACATAATGATATGGGTGGGGGGGGGGGGGGGGCATCCAGTCATGGAGTGGGACGTTTGGCAGGTTGTGTTAATATTATTTGATCCTTTTTCCATTTGATATTGATTGTTAAAGATCTTAGTTTTAGACAGGTAATATTATTTCACTCTCTTTTTACGGTGTTCAGTGTGAAAATATTGATTATTTGGACTGAAATGAAATCTTGAAAAAATTAAGCTAAAAAATGCATATAATTAAAAAATCGACTGAGAGAGACAGAGAAAAAAAAAACATTTTCAGTTCCATAACGAGGACCTGTACATCACATGTACAGGTTTAATCTTGTGTACATACAAAGTACATTGTGCCATTTTGTACATGTAGATGTAGATGTAGATGTACATGTACATGTATGTATGAGGATAATAACCACATATAATGTACATGTATTCCCCACCCCCTCATAAACTGTACTGGGTACTCAATTTGACATACACTGTCTTTCACTATTAAAACTGATTGTAAAAACAGAAAAATGTCAAAATTTGGATTTTTGCTGAACATGTAAATTTTCTACTGTACATGTATCATGTATGCAAAGTATGTACAATGTACGTGTACTTGAAAGTACCCCATTGGACACAAACAAAAAATAGGAACTCAAACGAACTGCTTGACTGAATACTACTGTATGATGTTGCCTCTACGGCTTTCCCATACGATCCTCACTGTCATCTTGCTTCACTTCATTTCAGCTGATCAAATAGTAAGCTACTCTGCTTCTGTACAACCCATAGTCTGGATTCCACAAAAGAGAATCCATTTTTTTCTTTCACTTGAAAGTATTTGTTGATTTTTTACCTTCAACTTCTTGTCATCCTGTACAATATTCATTTTAAAATCCAGGAGCTAAGCATTTTTTTTCTAGTATTTTATACTTGACTGTCTTCTTGATTTTCTGATCATTTTACATGTTTATGTACATGTATGTTCAGGATGTAATGTACATTTAATTCTTTATAATGAAATTTACTTTTCTCTTTGATGTTTTGAACATCCATTACCAAGTCTAAAAAGTCTGAATTTTATTGAAAGAAGGATCTACAGGATGTCCATAGAGGCTTACATGTCCATGTACATAGTCATGAACACAAAATGAAGGGATTCATTTATTCGTTTATTAAAAAAAACGACAAAGGGCTAACAGCTGGTGATACATGTATGTCCCATCAAGTAGATTCAAGTGCTCTTAAATCTCCTTGGTCCTATCATGGACCTCTTACAATGTACATTTTGTAGGTCCATGGTCCCGTAGACACTAGTAATGGCAGCTACTGTAAATGAAAAAGATAAAAGAGATTTCTGTCATCTGGTTTAATAAATAAATTTATGTAATCTGCATGATGTAACTATCAACTCTGAAAACTCTTTATATCCAGTACATTCAATTCAACTTTTAACCCTGGGATAATATTACCCAAGACACACATTTTACCAAGGATATCTCCTTGATTTTACGCAAGCATCTATTAAAGATAAAGTTGAGTCCTGGTCATGCGATTGCATTTTGAAAGAAATGTTGTGGAATCGATCAGAAAAGGTTGATCATCTAGCATATGTACAGTAAGTCTTTGTGTGGATTTGCAAGGTTCTGAAATTATCAAAATGATAAGAAATTTGGCCAAGTCTTCGTAAAGTTAAAAGCACTGTATACACAGAAGGAAGTATACACGAACAAGCGGCGTAAAAATCTTTCCTGATTTTTACGATGTTACATGCCCAATTTAGAATATCAAGGCATTTCAAGAGCCATGCTTTTCAGGGAATATCTTTTATCTGATGCTCTTCCATACTTGCATAATACAATGATAACGCTCACAAATTATTGTTCACCTCTTCCCAGAACTCAACCTTTTCTTTAAGTCCGAGCTCTCTCAATCGAAATCACTCCTCATCTCTCCCTTGTGTCAAAGCAATGGAAATGGTCGATCATTTGCATTAATGGCTGCTTTATAATGGGGCTCCAATTGCTCCCCTGATAACCATCCCAGGTGACGTCTTATCTAGCTAGTCTTATCGCCCTCATTTGGAATGGAAAATGATGTTCTGCTCCAGGGGTTTTGGATGATCGTCGCGAGACCTGGGAGGCTCGTAATCATCTCAAGCAGTCGGATCATAATGCAATTCAAATTGATTCAACTTGATTTTGTGAAATAATTGCTCCTATTTTATCCTTAAAAAAGCAGTGTTGGTTTTATACTCCTACTTATATTTGTGTGCAAGTAAGTCAGGCTTAATACTTTCTTGTTTTTGGCTCCATCAAAATATACCAGTATTAAAGCTTTTCACATATTTTCCATTAACTTAGTTTTTTAATAATAATTGCTCTTATTTGACTCATTGAAATGCTATGTAGACTTAAGCATGTACATGTCCGCGATCAAATTATGCAAGTAACATGGCCACTTGCTCTCTTTCCTTTTACATCCATCGAAAAATGATTGGTTGGCGCTTTTCAGTGTCCTACAGTATATGCCTACATGCATGTGTGATGCATTGTTAAAGCTTCCAATCAATTTTCTATTAACTCAATTTTTGTAATAATTGCTCTTATTTGACCTATAAAAACCAACGTACAATGTAGGAGTACTACATGTACATGTACATTAACATGTGCATGCTCATATACTGTATGCAAGTCTTTCCTTGTGCCTCCATCGAAATACGATGTTCTTTTTTTTTTTTTTTTTTTTTAAGTTTCGATTTATGCCCCTCCACCTGGCACTATGCCTAGCAATGTCTCCCAGCTCAGTAATCGGTGTGATGACTTACCACTTGGAAACTAGAACAACACTCCAATTTGTCTGTCATCTTGGTTTGAAAGTAATCTTTGTAATAGATCTCAATATACATGTATATTCATCCAAGTTTAACACATGGTGTACCACAAGGTTCTATCCTAGGTCCTCTACTGTTTTTAATTTACTTTAATGATCTTACACATTATTCTAAAACAACATTGTTACTATTATTTGTGACTAGTTCACAAGCACAAATCGGCGCCTTCAGTTAAATCACCTTCCTGCTTTTTCACACGGCCAAAAAAAAAAAAAAAAAAAAAAAAAAAATGATTTTTTAATTTTTATTTTTTTTAATTTAATTTTTTAAAATAAATCGTTTAACCGAAAACCGTCCGGTTTTGACAGGCGGTTAAACGGAATTGGAGATATCCGTGATGTTACAGCACTAGGCAAAACAGTTAAAGGTAAAGACCAGTTATGGTCATGCGATTGCATTGTGAAAGAAACGTTGTGGAATCGAAAATCAGAAAAGGTTGATCATCTAGCATCTAGCATCTGCAAGGTTCTGGAATCATCAAAATGATAAGAAATTTGGCCCATTCTTCGTAAAGTTACAAGCACTATACACAGAAAGATGTATATGGGACTACCCTATATCTCTCACAGACCATGAGAGAAACAAATTTACCAAATATATGAATTAGTAGGCGGTTTCCCGGCAAATTTTTTATCATCATGTATTAGTCAAAACATATTCTTTCACATGATTGGTAATGAGAGCTTCCATTTCATTTTTTGAAATTGGGTCGTTTCCAATACTGGTCTTTACCTTTAAAATATGATGACGTAAAATGTATAATACGCTTCACACTTCTGCATCTTACATGTATGACACAGAGCGCAGTGCATACGTGCTAGTCCGTAGTTGTGCTCTGTTGCCATTCATTTTTACACGTTAAAAAGCAGCGGCTGCTTTTTTGCGGTTTTGCCGCGCCATATCTGAACGAGCCTTTACGCTTTTGCCGCCATCAAAAAAGAGCGCTCGATGTCGAGCCACTAGCGTCATGTGCCCACGTGTCATGCATTGTTGAAGCTTCCAGTGTATTTTCCAATTAGTGTTCCACTCTCTTATTACTCTGTCAAGTACACGATGCCTTGTCTCCCGAGCCCGGTTCACACTTGTGGCCCGGTTGCCTAGCAACAGACATTTAATGGGCCATCGTCCCCATGTACTCGTCGCCATGTAGTCTTGAATGCTATGCAAATGAACTGTAAGCTGAGGAAATGTGGTGGAAACCTAATCATGCATATACCTGCCACAGCCTCAACATTTTTGAATTTGTACCGGCACTTTGTGTCGCACTACTGTTGTACATGTACATGTACATGTACATGAAGTTTTCATTGCTGAAACATTACACTTTTAAAGGATTCATACATTGTATGTAGTGGACTAGCCTTTTGTATTTGTGTCAAAATAACCAGACTTGTCAGTTTCTGTTTAGATGGAATATATTTTTTGTTTTCTTCCAGGTAAACTGTAACACAGATTTACTTGGGTGTATGCTATCCTTAATTGCTTTGTTTCTTGTGGACAAGGTATGCTTGCAATTTTTCCTTTTTCTGGTTAGGGAAGTGAAATCTAGGTCAAGCAATAAAGAATGCAGTTCATCAGAGTCTACTTTGACTGTACAATCTTTATGGAATTCAACTTAAATGTACAGTAATTACCAAATTTGTCCTATCACATGATCAGGGGAAAACCCCCCAGAGCTTTATTGCATGTTTTTTTTTTTTTTTACTGTTAATGAGTGTTGTCAATAGCATATTTATTTCATATCAGTATGAAAGGTAGACTATGTGAGCAGGCCCTCGATAGCACTCAAGCCATCTCAGTGACATCACGATGCGCCCCCGACAGAGCCCCATCCAAAGACCATACCGTCTGTGGACTCATGCTATCGATGAGTAGGAGCGCATCCCTGAGATGCATAAAATGTTAATTGCTATCTATGTGATGGCGGGACATCATAAAACCCGGGGATGGGACATTTTTACTTTTAGGGGGTAAGCCGCCGTCGTCTCCCATCCCGCTACCAGCCACCAGCTAATGGAGTACGGGGCTAGAGTGCGCGGCTTCGCTGTTTATGGCTGAATATGATCACGAACGTGTGACAAGGTTACCTCCCGAAACGTGCATTTGCTGCAGATTTGCCATAATTAAAGTGAAATCGAGCATGAGTCATGGATTTCATGTCTTCGTTTATAGGATGGGGTGGAAATTCAGGAAACCGAAAAGTGCTACATTTTTAGTAGTGAAATGTAATGTGCATATAATGTAATGTACAGGTGTAGTTCTGGTTTTACTCATTCCTACAAATCTAAGATAGATGTACTTTGTATCTACGTTATACAATCTGTACAATTCTGTTGTGTACTTTTATTGTACTTTCATAATATTTCAAAGTACCTGGTAATGTGAAAATATTATTCTAGAGAGTAGAGAGAATACTATGTGCATTATTTTTCCATTTATTTTTTAAACATTTTTCCTTAAGTCCCAACAAACTACAGTGTATATAGTTAATGGGAAATCCCAAGGATGCCAATTCAAACCCACTCACTAATTCATATTCCAAATTGCTTTCAAATTGCTAAAAAGACCATTTTGTACTTGTACACACCTACACTTTTAAGTATGAATAATCTTTCATTAGGCACAAGATGGAAAATGAAAGCCCCATTCTCAATCCCCCTATCTACATTGTACATGTAACAGCTGCTATCTAATGTACATGTAAATATTTAACTCTTAAACAAAATATTCAATAAAGAATTTATATTGAAGCTCCTGAAGAAAACATCAATGTATTTGAACCTTGATATAAATGTACAGGTACAGGTGTACAGTATGCAATGTGTAATTAATTTGTTTGGTTTTTTGTTATTTCATGTCAAATTTGGTAATTCTTTGTTCATGCTACAGTACTAAGAGTCTGTCCACCTTCCAAGTTTCGTGAATGAGGAGGCAAATTAATGTTGATATGATGTACCATTTTGAATGGACTAATAATAAAGCAGGACTTGTATGTTTAGAAATTTGTAACCCATGGATAGAATTTCCCTTCCAATTTTGATAATGAAAGAGCAACATTGCAGTTGACCTTACAATTGATATTTGAGAGGTACAAATGTACATGAGATGTTGAATGCTTGTTATGGAAAAGGATTGTACGGTCCAGGAAAATGTCTACACGTAAAGATGATCTGTAGAAGATGATCTTTAGTAGATATGGACTTTGCTTCTGTGAGTGTAACATACATGTACTTGGTGGCAATTCTGTGATATATTTTTTTTTTTACCCTCAACATGATAATTAATGTAGCAAACACTTTCAAAATGGTTGCTAGAAAGTTGCTGGGAAACCAATTGTTGCTTGTGGCATTATAAAATGACACATACAGTGTACATGTAAGGGTAGTGCGTGTCATATTTCTGTATAATTTAATACGAAGATCGATTGTGCTTACGGGATTTTGTTGCACGCAGGTACTTTTTTCATCTCACTCGCCATTCATTTACATGTGAAACACAGTTTCATTTGGCTGTGTCGTGTGAACATCAACCCCCACCGATTCAGATTTGAACTTGGGATCTTCTAGTTTTAAGACCACTGCTCTATTTAAAACTCTTACTGTAGCTATCATGTCTTTTGAAGCAGATGTATTATAAGGATTGTGTCATATTTTTGATGCTGCTATTCTTTTTCATCAGGGTTCATCATGATGTATTCCTTGGATTATACATGTACCTGCTATATCTTTTTATTTTCTCTTTTTTACAGTCACATTCACCTCTATGGGATGATTTCTCCAGCAAGGCAGGCAAGCTCCACACACAACTCAGGTATGTTTTAACTTCCCCATTCAATACTTCTCAGATCATACAGTAGTAGGAGTAGTGTAGTACAGTTGTGCTGGTAGTGATAGTGGTGGTAGTAGTAGTATACAGTATATGTAATTGTTGTAGTAGTAGAAGTAGCAGTAGCAGTAGCAGTAGCAACAACTAGAAATAGACATTTCATCTGTTTGGAGCCAGAAGGGTGTTTACTCAAACATTTAAACACAAAGTTAATACCCTTCTGGCTCTCAATTCGTGATTTGCGTCCTTTGCTTGCTATTCATCAAAAGTCGTACTGCAAGAGGCTGTTTGTGTACAGTACCCTGAAATATGAGCTTCAGCATAATAGAACTGCAAAAGGTTTCATTTCCAGGAGCTCACTGCCTTATAAATTACACATTCCTCCTTGTTTACAATATTGCCCTCCCCCAAATACTCCTTGTTGATTTCTTGTACATTTCTGAAATTTCCCAAACTTTCCTTTGTTACACACCCTTTTTTGTGTGAATTTCACTGTGCATATCTACTTACTGTGTGAGTTTCAAACTTTTAATCAAACTTTTATCTTACTGGTTAAAGTCAAGTAAAGTTCAATATTCAGATAATAGTACATTTACATGCAAATTTTCATCTGGAGTACTCTGTGTCCTGGTCTTTGTCAATACTTGCATACATTATGCATGTAGGCCTGCCAGTCACCTTTAACGTACGTGTGAAGGGCTACATGTGCGTTGAACACATGAACAGCACACATTAGCTAAACAGATGTTGACCAATTGTTAATTTACAGCTGTTTAGTAACATGTGCGGCATTTGTTGATATTAGCACCTTCCTACAAACACATGTGCTGTGCAGAACAAAAGTGAGTCTTTTAATCGCCTCTACTTGCTATGTGTGTCTGAAATGTCGTGATATGATTTCCTGTTCGTTAGTTTGGGAATGAAAAGAAGAAATAGAGTGACATATGGTCCTCTCGTTTCAGTTGATATTCATTTTATTGCAATGGGCAATCATTTCCATGTCTGATTTAAAATGGAGGTTACAGTACTTAGTTTTCATAAGATTATATGACGAAGATTTATGAACGCCGCATGTTATTTGAAATTGCGAATCATGATTTTTCTCCAGAACAAAAGATTTTAATTACGTTTGTCTGTTACGCTTGGATGCTTCAGAAGAATCACTGGAAATTGAAGGAGATGAGACACATCAAAATTTTGTGTAAAGAGAAAGATTCACATAGATGACATGCGGCATGAATCTTTCATTAGTCGGAAACAAAACATGAATTAGGCGGGATTCTTGGGCAAACACGGAATAAAAGCAAACATTTACGAGACGATCCTTGGAGTGATTACTGTCACGGAAGCAGAATGCACGCTCGGCCAATTTTGTCACTGGCAGGGCAGATTGCTTACATTTAGCCCGCTTCACTAATTCTCTGTCATAATCATACAGCTTGCTCGGCCTTTCGTATCCACAATTTATACAAAAAGATGAGTCATCTCTTAGTGAACAATCTTTCATGATTTATGGCGGTATAAGAGGGAAATAAAAGCGGTCGTATATCAAGGCAGTTATGATGACATTTTGGGCTTAGATTCATTTCCTATCTATGTATCTAAATACGTACTCTAGGGGATGTCGAGGGGGGTTTAATAATTAGACATAGCGGAGAGGAGAGTGTAGTACCCCTCTTCTAATATGGTTCAAGTCTCGTTTTACCCATGATATTGAAAAGTTACTGGCTTGCCATTGACTGGCGTCCCATTGTTGTGCGTTGTATCGTTTTGCCCTCTTACCGGCAACAGTAACAAGCTGTGCATAGCCACGAGGGGTCAGGCTAATGAAACTTAATTTAATTGCATACTGTCTACCCCATGGCTCTGTGTGCAACGAAGAGTAAATCCAGTCGGAGGAAATTATGTGCAGTTCAATTTATTGGTTACATGTATGTCTGCCACATTTTATTAGTGACAGTGAATGCTAGCATACAAGTACATATAAATGACTCTAAGGATTCAAACAGAATGAGTATGACCTGAAAACTTATTGAATAGTCAATATAATGTGTATTTTCATGAATTTAATTATCAATCAACCTGACGTTTTTTTCCCCAAGCTCTATATATGAAACCTGAAACTGTAAGATCACTTTTGAAAAACATTTTTTAGTCACAAAAGGTTTGTGACCAACATGTATGCATCATACTTCAGAGATGCTTAAACCGTCCCTGATAATTAGATTTTTGATAGATTGGAAAGATTATTCCTATTATGCTGTATGCTATTGATAGAAACCTCCCTGATTTCTGAATGTAAAGGTTGGCACATCTGATACTTGCTCAATCACCTAAATGACAAAATATGAAATACAGATCCTGTATCATAATCAATTATATGAACCTCATATTTTATGCTCTTAAAAATTGAGATGAACAGAAGAGATCCTGTGTATAAGAGATTTGGTTTGAAAGTTGAAACGCAACTGAAACTATGGACATCCATCGCACGTGTATATTTATCTGCAAAGAGGCCTGTTTAAAGGTTCATACATCCTACAGCACAGTGAGATAATACATGGTCCTTCTGGTTTATTGAGACATTAGGCCTGTCCTCATCGGCTCGAGAACGCCAAATAGCCTGCTATTTCTGATTTGGGAAATAATCCCGAAGTTACAAATCGCGTCCTCATCAGCTCGGAACTCGAACTCGACCTCGAGCTTGGGATATTAGCTTGAGATATTTGCTCAGCGTTCACACTAGTGTGAGTCTTCGGGCTGGTGAAGACGCATCGGACAAATAGCGGGATATTTTGCAAACTAGCCCTAGATATCTTGGGATGATTATCTCAACCAAATATCCCGCTAATTGCATCTTCGGGCTGATGAAAACACAAATTAACTGGATAATTTGCGATCGAGATAGTTCGATTAGCGGGTTATTTGGTTATCTCAAGCTGATGAGGACAGGCCTATTGACAGTACAGATAGCCTACTGTCAGATGCCTTGACTCTGATGTCATCTTATCATTAATCATCCAATCTCTTTATTTTTCTGTTTCTCTTTCCTTGTTTGTGTGTTTAGGGCCACCATCACAGTCCTGTCAGCGTTCTTGGATGCATTCCAGCGGCTGGCCGATGCTGCTACCAATACAAGAGGTAGGCACTGGGGTATTTGATAGGCTCATATGAATACAATACAATCTGGATTCTGTAGGCTCACACACAATACAATATGTGGGACATGTAGCCCTACATCTTATTTTTGAATGACATATTTATTCTCTTTAGGTGGATGATAAGAGTAACTATTCTTGACAAACTTACAAAGGAAATGACCATGTCTTTAAACAGCTCAGTTTGAATTGCATATTATAGTCTGTTGCTGGTTTCATGAAAGAACATTTGGAAGGTTTTTCTTTTAAAGCATGGCACTCTGCCTGCGCAGCAAACCAAGAGAGAATCTGTAGAATGAAAGATATGGACCATTTCTTGCTTTATCATAAAACTGCAATTATTGAACTTTTCTATGAGTCCCATGATCATGCTCTGTTCAGAGCCAAATGAGGGTTAGCTCTATGTTAAAGGTATTACAAAGTTTTGGTATGGGGTCATAAATTTGGTTCAAATTAACATATTGGAAGCATATGCGTTCCTACAATATTCATTGATCGTTGTCGCGGTTGAAATCGAGTCTAAAGTTATGAAATTGTAAATAATTAAATCTTTATCTTGTATAGCTCCCTCTCAAGGTCAAGATCTTCATTTAGCTATGAAACAATGTTTCTTGACCAAAATCGACCGATTAGCTATTCCCGTTCGGAAATTATATATCACAACTACATATTCTGAGATTTTCATGGTCGCAGCTACCATCGTACGGCCATAGGCGGTATTTCATTTGAAATTTATCAAAATTTACCGGGAGTACCGGTAAATTTTTATATTCAATTTTTCTCGAAAACAGAAGTATTTTTGGGGCTAATTTTTTTAGTGCTTATAATACATCCACAGGGGCATCCAAATATATAAAAATTGTGAAGATTCACTATACACCCAATTTTCAAAATTTCCCAAAACTTTGTATTACCTTTAAAGTATACGAGTTGACACCCATCTGGTTCAAAAATGTTATTTATGTACGAGCATATCATTCAGGTGATGATCATGGAGTTCAATTCACTGTCTTGCCTAAAAATTAAAAACAACCGCACAGAGCTATGATATGGAAAATATGAATTGAAATATCAGACAAAAAAGGTTGCATAACAAACTTGAAATGACATAAATATTTTGAATACCTCACAAAATGCAATTGACATTTCTTAGAGCATATTACAAGTTTCATAATCGTTACATGGGTCATTCAATTAATCCTTATAAACTAAAAATAGCAGGTCAGATGAGCGTGTTTAAGCTAATGGACTTATGTAATATATTCCCTGATGCACGCAAGCCTGCGTCAGCAGTGATGGTGATGAGTATTAGCTTTCGCCTGAACTATTCATGAACTTGAGGCTAGCAATGAAAGCACTAAATATAGCTGATATTTCAACTAATCCACGTTGTATATATCATGCGGTTGGAACTTACAGTAATATCCAGGATATTAAATGTTGATTGAAAAAATATACAGGCATACACGGCGGCGATGACTAAAACAAAGGGAATCGCGAACAGTCAGATTAACGGCAATTTGGAATACATGCTTTATATTTGCGGTAGGACGTCCAGTATCCACAATTGTACGTGCACAGACTAATTTTAATAGAAAAGCTGCATTATGAATTTACCTGATTTGAAAGTAAGCAGTTTGTGGAGTAGATGAAAAATGAGTCATCAATTATTGCATAGGAAGATATTTATTTCTCTTTTTTCATCATAGTCTATTCAGTTGATGACAAAATTGGATTCATAAACAATTCATGCAATGATTTTATGAATTGTATTGTATACAGAACAAAAGGTCATTGTACTGCAAATTGATTATACCCAGTAAATGGAATTACATTTTGTATTGTGCTGAGCATACAAAAATGAATTAATTGATTTGAGAATAAGTCAGTTATGGCATTTTAATCATTGAAATTTGTTTTTCATGAAGAGGAGAAAGAGAGAGAGAGAGAGAGAGAGAGAGAGAGAAAAAGAGAGAGAGAGAGAAAAAGAGAGAAAAGGAGAGATAGAGAGAGAGAGAGAGAGAGAGAGAGAGAGGGGGGGGGGGGGGAGAAGAAGATAAAATAATGCTAATTTTCAGGCTGCATTTTACCAGCTTCCCCTTGTAAACCCCCCATTTTTGCGGTGTATTTTTGATTATTGGGGAGCATGTTTTCCCAACAGCTCAAAGCTTTAATCCACTTAACACCAACAATGGTGATACTGTTATACTAACAATGAACTACAAATAGGATCAATCAGTACTCCGGGCAAGATATGAAATGCTGAGTGAGTTGGCAACAGGGCTGGAGTCGAGCTTAATTGCGTGCTTTAATCATACATGTAATTACAGTGTATATTGTGTGCGTGAGAAGTAAGGCTTTGCATCCATGGGTTTCATGAAAATAATGTTCATTTTTGTTAGGCTTGCAGAGAGAGAGAGAGAGAGAGAGAGAGAGAGAGAAAGAGAGAGAAAAAATATTGTAAACGTATAAATCTGTGAATTGTGTACATGAGTTGTGTAGCTCCTGGTTCCAGCCTTGCCAGGTGCTTACGTCCTTAGACAAGGTGTTTCATCGACAACTTTCTCGAACCAATTGGTACCTGGCAATACCAAGGTACTACTACTGCTACTAATAATAATTGCAGGACCCCAGGAAGACAAATATCAACACCGATGAGGCTACCCTGGATAAAGAAGATGATTATAAATCAAACCTAGTCACTGCATAATAGCGCAGATGGATATTATGTGATCTATGCAGGCCCCAACGCATTGAAATGAAGATGCATATTTAATGAGATGACACTTTCGCTGACCCCCTTCAAACTCATAATTGGTTTGGTGATTATCCCTTGAAGAAGACATGTACATTATCCAGTTATGTAATCTGCACTCCAAGTTAACACTTTATTTCTTCTAGTGAAGAATGGTAGTGCGAAAGAGGTGTATTATGCAATTATTGCTCTATGAATAATTATCTTACGACTGCTCTTGCTTTGCTAGATGTAATATCCTTCCAATGGTAATAACATGCACCCCAGGTTGAGCTATTTTTGACAGCTTACGGCTGGCCTCTTTTATGTATTCTGCAGATAGAGCTGTCTTATTATCTCATCTTCATTAGTGTGCAGTCTTGACTAATTAATTGAGTATCCTGTTGTTGGCTAGTCCTGGTGGGTTGGCGTAATATAATACTTGGTTTAAATATTGTAAGGGGGTCAAAGCTGGTGAAATTATAATACAATGGGAAGTACCCTGTTTGCATGCCTGTTGAAAGGGATCAAGAAACAATTGAATGGAAATTTGGGAGGGGGGGGGGGAGACTAATCTGCAAGTACAAGCCTCAGGGAGCTTGGTTGCTGTTGGCAACCAAGACTTGTTTTTTTATCAAGTGGTAAAGAGTGAGAGAAGGACAGTTCAAAAGTACATTTTAAGTTATTTATATAATAGATTTGGGCTTGTACAATATTGAATACCCGTAACGAGAAAGAACTCTATTATGTTGTTAGCATATATCGATAGGACACTTGTACGGTACATCAGTTTGCTTTAGCATCTGTGTGTGATTAAGCACTGCTGTAAAGGATGGTAATATATAATTTTACAAAATGTATAGGCCTGTTTGCTTGCATTGTGAAGTATCATATTAAAGAATGCACCGGTGAATCTTACATCAAGGAAAACCTTTTCAAAATGTGAAAGAATGACAGTCCTTTGTTGAAACTTGATGTCCTTTGAAACGTGAAGCGTAATTTTATACCAGCAGATTCAATAAAGTATATGCATGCTTCATGAGAGTGCGTGCCCTTCTGCAAATTATGTACTACTTTATCCTGAAAAAGGATGCATTAGTGCATTGGACGTGCTAAAGGGCTGATATTTTTAGGTAATTTAGGCTTATATTTAGAAGTTATTATCTAATCTTCGTGGACAAGGCGGGTTCAGGCTTATTTTTCAATGGAGCTTCTAAAATGCTTCTTTGAACACTCTCTTAATATGATGCGTGGGTTGTACCCTTACTTGTTTTTGCTTAAGTTTTTTCCTTCAAATGATGGTAATTATTTCATTTTTATTGACTCCTTTGATAAGCTTTTTGTGCTGTCAGCAGAAAAGACACACTTTCTCCATGGTTACCAGTAGATGTTTTTGCTTAAGTTTTTTTCTTCAAGTTTTTTTCTTCAAATGCTGGTAATTATTTCATTTTAATGACGACGTTTATGGCTTTTCTTTCGTAACAGAAAGTGCATTCTGCAGAAAAGACACACTTTCTCCATGGTTACAAACTGTTGATAAAAACAAATTGCAGATACTATAGTGTCTACAATTATACATTTTCTACTTGAAAGAAACCTACATGTAGAAACCAAGCAGTGGAGGAAGACCGAACCAAGGATAGTAGATAAACGGCATTGTCCCCCCCTCCCCCATCCCACCCCATCCCCCTGCCCAGTCCCCACACCATAAACACAGATGCATGGACGTCTCCAACGGGGAAGCTGTAAATCTCGTCATTGTAGCCGACAAATTTGGTAGATTGATTTCAAGAGTCAGGGCTGCAGAAAATTCCTGCCATTCTTAGTAATGAGCATGGCTTTAGCAGATGCCTGGGCCCTGTATAATGCGAGGGGTGCCTCGCTACATCTTGGGGTTCTGTTCTGCAAATGCGACAAATGCGACAAACATGGTTTTTGACTTGTTCGCTATTTATATTTTACGAGGTGTAATGCTTTGATGTTTGCTAATGCTCATTTGGATTTGTACAAATTGTAGCATGATTAATATCCAAGGTGTGAATCTGTAATTTATGGCCATCATGGTTGTCATGGGACGAACATTAACTTGGTAGGATGCATCTGCAAACTGTAGACATTCATGTTCGATGTACATGTAGTCATGTACATGTATGTAACAAATGATTTTGGTTCATCAAAGATATTTTTGTTGACATCCTTTAAGCATTAACCCTTTGCTTACGGGAACCTGGTGATCCCAGTGCTAAGCCTATGGGACCGATACAATTCAGGAGACAACGGGTTAAGATGATATTAATTAACCAATATATTGAAGGTATGCATATCATTTTATAATTCAAATGTATTTTGCATATGATGTTGATAATAAAATATAATTTAATGAATATTGGATAGGGACCGTGAAGTTATTAGAACAGAAAATACACTGTTACCCCTAGCATTTTGAAAGTTTTGTTCTACTATTCTCATATTATTTTAATTAAACAAATGATTAAATGACAGATATTAATCAAATCACAAACGTGCGTTTATGACCCTGAACTTGAGGGCAATGTAATTGTGGTAGCTTTGATTATATTTCCCCTTTCTGATAGAGATACTGCTAATGGCCATAGGTGTCCAGGGTCCCCTTTATTAAACCTCCCATCTCCTCTCTGTCTACTAGCTGCTTCTCAAGGAACCGTGTAAAGATAATTACTCTCCGTGTCGAGCGTTGGGGTATCCAGTCGCCGGCGAACGCAAACTCCCCGATTTAATCAAGCCGAAGAAATGGCTTACTTTCGTCTGCAAATTAATTTGATAACCACATGCCTGTGCCTCACGCGCACTGGAACCTCCAATCAGAGGTTAATTCATTCCATGCGAATCTAGTCCATGTGCATGTGTGTACACAAGCTCATTTGCACATGCCCTTACAGTGTATGTAGCCTACATAAGCCGAGCTGGGCCGTTCTGTCAGTCATTGCGTACTCGTCTTGCGCTCATTGCCGGGCATGCTCGAGTACTCCCGAAATATTTTCAATTCGGTTAAGTAGATGGGCCGGTAATTTTTCCCCGACCGGATTTAGTGGGGAGGAATATGGAATTGATTGATAAATATTGGCAATATGTTGCTGTATTTGAAGAAGGTTTTTTTTGCGGGATTAGTCTGGTCTGTATTGGTTCCGAGCCAAAATGCGGTCTACGGGTCGGCATCTTGATTGGGGTAAAATTACGATGTCTCCAATAGGAGAAAGACTTTTGGGTTTTGATGAGTGAATTATGGTTTCTTGATCTTAGAAGGCTGGTCTCCAATGGATCTTGAACGACTTCACTGAGAGCAAATGTTTCCTTTGAAGCTGAATAAAATCTAATGTATTCATTGCATTACGTTTGTATGGATATCGTTTCCAAACCAGGGGATTTAATGCCCGGCAGCTTGCATTTGCTTCATGTTGTTAGTTCAACACTGATTTAAAAAAATGTTGTATGACATTACTGTGCATCTGCTTTGTGTTTCAAATACCTTACCAGAGAAATATCAGTTTTGGAAAAAGTTTGATGTAAATTTAATCATTTTGTATTCTAATCATAAAAATTTGGCCAGTCTGCGATATCATCCTCCTTTATTTACCACTAATTGCAAAATACTGTGTTTGGAGTATAGCCCAAATCAGCTCCGCTATGACAGGCACTGGGCAGCTACAACAAAATGCCTGTGATAGGTAGTAGTCTACACTATGTTCTGTTCAGACTCTTCTCTGTTCTTTCACCACTCCTGTTGGGGGGGGGGGGGGGGGGGTTCATCCATGTCTTCAACTTGGGTTTGACCTCTGCATGCACTGAGTGGGCTTCCATCATTGCTGGCCTCAAGTTATCCAGGTTAGGAAGCCAGGGGTTGAGTCAATGAGGACGGATACACTGACCTGGTTGTGAGGGTGCATTTCTGCTGATGAGTGATGTGTCTTTGGGGATATCCTCTACCCTTGCTCCTAGACCTGCTTTGTTGTAGATAAGCTCTGTTGTTATTAGACAATACCAATTAACCCATCAAAGGAGGAGAGAAATCAATTTTGAAACCTCGTAGCACTACTCCCAAAAAAGAACATTCAAGAAGTTGCCACCTGTATTAAATCATCATTCAAAGTCACATATTTGCTGACTAAAAATAATGTTTTTACGTTTTTCAACAAAGGCTTGTTTCTTTCGTTGTGTAT